TCCTTGCATCTTACCCGCAGGATGCTTGCTCTACACGTCTATACTAGCATGCCGTCCGTGTCTTCATAACCCATACAAAGGCGATAACAATAAAGCAAAGAACAAAACACCAACCCACCAAGAACGCTATCCCCAACCTCACACCTCTACTCCACCCCCAACTTCTAGAATTCTATCATCTAGCCCCCCTCACATCTTCGGCCCATTCTCCCCACCCAAAAACTCCAAATTAATCGCCGCCCGAATAAGCTGATTCGCAATAGCCGTAGCCGGGGGCAACCTCAGCGCCCCCTCTTTATACTCAGGCCCCGGCCCAGACCCCAAAACACTCGTGCCCGTCCTCAGCGCCTCCTCGACCTCGGCAAACTCAAACCACCTCGCATCCTCAAGCTCGGGATCATGCTCGAGGTTGATCTTCTCATGCGCAGGATCACTCACCTGCGCAATAGCCCCAATCATCAAGTTCGCCGGGTACGGCCACGGCTGCGACGAGTGGATCACGACGCGCGACAACGTCACGCCGGCTTCTTCCCACACTTCGCGGCGGACAGCGTCTTCGACGGACTCGGCGGGCTCGATGAAGCCCGCTAGGGTGGAGTACCAGTTGGGAGGGAAGCGCTTCGAGCGGCCGAGCAGGATGCGTTTAGCGTCGGCGGAGACGACGGCCACGATGATGGTGGGGTCGGTGCGAGGGAAGGAGAGATTCGATATCGTGGTGCGAGTGTTGCAGGGGGGTCGGGTGGCGGGTTTGCCTTGCTCGACGAGGGCGGCGTCGCTGGGTGGACAGGCGCGTTTGGTCCCGCTGTTTACGGAGATCGTGGGGTGGCCGCAGGTGCCGCAGAAGGTGTTGCGCGTGTTCCAGTCTATTAAGGCGCGGGCTTGCGCATAGATGGCGGCTGTGCAGGGGTGGGGGTGTCTGTTAGTGATGGTTGTTGTTGTGTATGAGTGGTAGGGTTAGGTACGTACCTTCACTGGCGGGGAATGACATGATGGTTCTGCCCTGGAGGAAGGTCAGACCCTTGGCTTCCATCTCGCCGATCACGGCTCTGGAGTTGGCTTGCTGTTCTTCGGAGTGGCGGGGGGTCACGTCCAATGCGAAGTAGGGCGTTCCGGTGTAGATCTTCCAGACGAGACCGTCCTGTTTTTGGGTTTCGTCCAGACCGAGGAAGATTGGGGATGCGGTGGTTTTGCGTGAGTCGTACTCCTTGATGATGTCCTCTTCGGACTTGTCGTAGATGGTCTCGGGGACCATTTTGCGGATCTCGTCGTATTTGGCGTAGTAGGGCTCCGCGGGGGATTTGGTCAGTGGCGCGAGGTCCTTCATGAGGACGAAGCGCGTGGAGGGGTGCTTGAGTGCGGCGGAGAGGAAGGCATGGTCTCCGCGGAGGAATGACAGACGGTTCAATGGGGAGCCTGGGAAATGGTAAATAGCTGGTCGTAAAGGGATTCAGGTGAGGTTTAGGACATACTGGAGAAATAGTTCACAGTCTCCTTTCCGAACCGCCGGGCCAGCATGGAGTCGGCTTGTATATGCGGGGGGTTGGGGAGCTGGGAATCGTTGCTCATCATGCACTAAAGAATACGGCGATTGTGGAGAGAAGGGAGTGTAGGGAGAAGGATTAGAGGGATAGGAATAGGATATGAATGATTACAATGCTGTATATCCACCGGGGAAAGTTCAGGAGGAAAAAAGCAAGGCGATGATGCAGAATTGGGCCTCCTCATGGCTCCGATAACCAACGATTAATCAGCACCCCTCAGATGCCGAGGCGGGTAATCTCGGTACCAACTGCGCAGGTACCGCTCACCCGGCAATTGCTCCGATACGGTATTACTGTGACGATTGAGGGGCACGAGGGGAGCTCCCCACACACGTGACGAGCGTCATGGCGAGTCACGCTTTCTCCAACTGATTCGTGGATGGCTTCATTTCTTATCTCTCCCCACGGCATCAGCAGGGACGCAGTCGCTCACCATGGGTCATCTTGTCACACTTGCAACATGGTGGGTGTTTGATTAGGGGTATATCGTTGTATGTTTTCACTGACAATTTCCTCTCAGCTCCCTCAACCAGTGGGCCCTTGACTTCGAGGGTAACTGCGAGCGCATTATCGAAAGTATTCGGAAAGCCAAGGCAGCTGGAGCCACGCTACGAGTTGGTCCTGAGCTTGAAATTACTGGTATTTACGCTTAGTTGCATCGCTATGGGCAATTGCTGATATCGCTCAGGATATGGCTGTCTCGATGCTTTCCTCGAGGGTGATACATACCTCCACTCGTGGGAGATGTTTGCCCGCATCATCGATCACCCCGACTGCCAGGATATCGTTGTTGATGTTGGTATGCCTGTTCGCCATAGGGACTGCAAGTGGAACTGCCGGTAAGTCATGAGTACGGTACCGATACTACTTCTACTCGGACTAAGTATTCTTCTAGCGTGATCTTCTACAACCGCAAGATCATCCTGATCCGTCCCAAGATGTGGCTTGCCAATGGTGCGTATATCCTTCAAGGCTGTGACTGGATGAATAGCTGACGTTTGCTTCTTCTAAAGATGGCAATTACAGGGAAATGAGACACTTCACGCCCTGGCAGCGGCCGCGCGAAGTCGAGGACTACTACTTGGAGCAGATTGTCGGAAAGATCACGGGACAATACAAGGTGCCTTTTGGTGATGCACTCATCAGTACTAGAGATACGTGCTTGGGTCTTGAAACTTGCGAGGAGCTCTTCACTCCTAACGGGTGAGACCTATACAGTCCTTCGGTTAAGGGGAGACGGCTAATACGTGCACAGCCCTCACATCCCGTATGGCCTTGCTGGTACGTCTGTCAATTTCACCTAACTGCACTTTATCTAACCTACCGAAAGGTGTCGAAATCTTCTCCAACTCCTCCGGAAGTCACCACGAATTGAGGAAGCTCGATACCCGTATCAACCTTATTACCCAGGCCACGAAATTGGTGAGGCTGCCAAATACATACGAGGTGTCAATTCTAACTCTTCTCTAGAGTGGTGGCATCTATCTCTATGCGAATCAGCAAGGCTGCGACGGTGATCGACTGTACTACGATGGTTGCGCAATGATCGTGGTCAATGGCAACATTGTGGCTCAGGGTTCACAATTCTCCCTGAACGATGTTGAGGTCGTTACGGCTACTGTTGATATTGAAGAGGTCCGGACCTACCGCTCTAGTGCGAGTCGAGGCATGCAGGCCAGCATGCAATCGCCTTATGTCCGCCTCGACCTGGACACGAGATTGTCCCGTCGGGATGAGGATGCCGATCCCGGCTATGCTCCCTCTGAAACTCTCAAACCCCGCTACCATGTCCCAGAGGAAGAGATCGCTCTTGGTCCGGCTTGCTGGCTGTGGGACTATCTGCGCCGGAGCGGTGCTGCCGGATACTTTATCCCTCTCAGCGGTGGTATTGACAGTTGCGCTACTTCTATCATTGTTCACTCGATGTGCAGAGAAGTTGTCAAAGCTGTCCAAGAAGGAAACGAGCAGGTCATTAAGGATGTCCGCAGGCTTTGCGCCGAGCCAACAGACTCCACCTGGCTTCCCACTACGAGCCAGGAGGTTTGCAAGTAAGTCTCACTACTAGATGCCGAACTATTATGTCCTAACCTACTCCAACAGCCGCATCTTCCACACGAGCTACATGGGCACCCAGAACTCCAGCAAGGAAACAAGGGATCGGGCCAAGGTGCTCGCCGCGGAGATCGGTGCTTACCACACCGACTTCAACTTTGATACCGTCATCACTGCTATGATGAACGTGTTTACTATCGTCACAAACTTTCAGCCTAAGTTCAAGGTCCACGGCGGTACCCGAGCAGAGAACCAAGCGTTGCAGAACATCCAAGCCAGATTGCGGATGGTACTTTCATATCTGTTCGCATCGCTGCTACCGACGGTCCGTCAGCGCCCTGGCGGTGGAGGACTACTTGTTCTGGGCTCGTCCAATGTTGATGGTACGTTTGCAACCCCATAATTCGTCTGAATCGAGATTCTAACAAAGCGCAGAATGGTGTGTTTATACCCCAAGCCCAATATAACACAACAATAACCCCCTTAAACCGAACAAGAAACTAACGTAAATAGTCTCCGCGGCTACCTGACCAAATACGACGCCAGCAGTGCCGATGTACATCCCCCCTCCCCTACCCACAAAGAAGGAATAAACACCACTAACAGTCCCAGCTCAACCCCATCGGCTCCATAAGTAAAGTCGACCTGAAGAAATTCATCGCCTGGGCCCGCGACTCCTTCGACCTTCCCATCCTCGACGATTTCCTCACCGCGACTCCCACCGCCGAACTCGAGCCCATCACCGCCACCTACGTGCAATCCGACGAAGCCGACATGGGAGTCACATACGCCGAGCTCTCGGTCTTCGGATACCTCCGTAAAGTGGCCAAGCTTGGACCCTGGTCCATGTACGAGCGCCTACTCCACATGTGGGGGAACGAATACAGTCCCCGCGAGATTTACGAAAAGACGCGCCATTTCTTCTACAACTATTCGATTAATCGCCATAAGATGACGGTGTTGACGCCTAGTTACCATGCTGAACAGTATTCGCCTGAGGATAATAGGCATGATTTGAGGCAGTTCTTGTGTATGTTTCCTTTCCTAACCCTTTTCTTTTCTTCCCTTTTGTGTTTTGCTGCTTGCACGTGTGATTGGTGTGGGATATTGGCTAATATAGACATTGATATGGTATAGATCCCTCCTTCTCGTGGGCGTACAAGAAGATGGAAGACAGTGTGCAGTACTGGGAATCAAAGGGGTGGACTACGGGTAAGGCGCAGAAGAAGAGCGTAAAGGCCGATTAGAGTGTCGGTTTAGTATCCTATAGTATATCCATCAAAGGAAGACGAAGACATGTAGAAGGGGCGGTTAGCTGTGATAGATGTTTAACGTGAATACACAGTAATACACATGTCACAAGCACATCCTAGCAAATAATTTTCCTGTAGATTAATGCAACGAGTAACTTGGAAATATGGAGACACATTGAAAAGAAAGAAAAGATCGAACTTGAATTGTAGATTGGTATCAGCATCAGTGAGATATAGACAGATAGGAAATCGTAGAGACAGGATATGAGTTTGGTAAAGAAAAGAAATGCTTTTGGAAAGCAACGCCAGCAGTGATAATCAGCGCTAATTGACAACGACGTTAAGTAGATCCTTAAGATCAGAGCATATAGGTATAGTATGAGGAATAAAAGAAGAAAAGAGTGAAACGACAGCCAAGTACTGTCTAATCTCTCCAGAACCAGCCGGTTTCCTTCCGATTGGCGGATGAAGAGTCTCCTGTACTGTTCTGTCCATGAGGGGGGTTCAGAACTTCCGTCGTCTCGTTGCTCTCTTCACGACCATCGGAGAATCGCTTTGTCCAGACGGTCTTCTTCTGAGTGGACCCATCGGGGAGTCGGACACGCTCGGTTCTCGTCATAGTTGAGATCACGGTTGGTTGTTCTGTGGTCGTAGTTGGTTGCGTCACTGGGGTTAGCTGCTGTTGCTGCTGCTGCTGCTGCTGCTGCTGCTGGTTCTCAGGGACTGTGTTGTCGTTCTGCTTGTCAGACACAGGCTCCAGCCATTTGTCGGCCTCGCGAAGTCTCCGCCTATCCTCCAGCAGCAAGCGCAGTACAGGGCTCTCGAACATATCGGCAAAGGCCTTGCTTTCACGAGCAGCAGCGTCCTCGAAGAAGCGATCGAACATGTCCAGTTCCGTCAAAGTTTCGGTCTCGTTGTCGTCTGCGGTTATCTCTCGAGATAGTTCATTGACATCGCCGCGGTCCGAGGTGTAGTTGTGGAAAACAAGCATCGGGTTTGACCGGCCATCTCTTCCGCTTTCGGAAATCTTCCACTGGTCGCCCAAACTACCCCGTTTCGCTAGACCGTACAGCCAATCTCTCGGGGTCTCCCTCTTCGCCAGCGCAGTGGTGTCCTGATCGAGCATGGGTTTGCCATTTTCCAGTCGAATAAGGTCCTCGAAAGCTTCGCGCCAGTGTGTCTCCGTAGCGGGGTTGTTGTTCTCATTCTCCGAGGACAGGCTCAACGAGGACATGAGCGACGAAAAGACACCCCTGTCGTGGTGGGAGTGGTACTGGTTCTGGCGTTCCAGGTGCAAGGGGGAGTAAGGGCTGAATATGAGGTAAGAGAAGGGCCATCCGAAAGAGTTGCTAGCGAAATCCGAGAACATGGAGCGGTGGAAGGGTTGGAAGAAGTGGGAGGAGAAAGGGCTGTCGAACAAGGAGGCCCGGTCGAAGAAAAAGTCGAAGATGCTGTCTCGGTCGCTTCTGCGCCATCTGGGATGGTTATCTGCGTACCATTGATCCTCCCACTCAGTCCAAGAATGCGCGGGATAGCGGTTGTGGCGCTGGTTGTGGTGGTCGGTATTGTCCGCTGTGCCTGGCGCATGGTTGTCCCCCTTCGCGTCGCCGCCGCCGTCTCTCCTGCGGAAAGCTTCCTCGTCAAAGATGGCCCAGTGGTCGCGAGAGGGCCGCGAGGACATGGAGGGAATGCCCATCACCGACTGGAGCACGGACGAGACTTGTTCGTCGGCGAAACGGCGGACAGCGTCCAACGCGGTCTCGTCATCGGGCCATCGGCGGGAATCGGAGGGAGCGGAATTTCGGTTCTGGTTAGAGGTGTCGTCACTAGGCATAGTGAGGGTGCAGATGCGGATGCAAATGCAGGGGTAGGTAGATAGAGAGTTAGTTATCGTTGAGAAATGTGGTAGAAAGAGTAGAGAAAAGGAACAAGGGAGATGGAGAAAGAAGAAGAAGAAAGAGCTTCTCGCGATTCCAATCAATTAATTGTTGGGGATATCGCCCCACTCGTGCTTCCCAATCACCACGTGACCCATACCATCTGATCTGGTGCTTTTTAGTATTTACTCTCTCTCCCAGACACACACTTCATGAAGTTGATGGAATTTATTATCACAGACATACTATTATACTACAACCACACAGCCAGTCCGTACTACAATCTGGATACACTAATAGTTCGTGTCTTACAGCCGAGATCGACGTTCCTCCAAGTTCTTCCACGCCTCATCAAAACCCGCTCCGCGGACCCACTGGGGATCCTGGCCAGTCGAATCCATCACTAGACAATCGATTAGTAACTCTATCACATCCATAAGAAGGATTGAGGAAGAATATACCCATATTCGCAATCTTCAGCCACATATCTCCCTTAATCTTCAGCCATAGCTCCTCGGCCCGGTCTTCAAACGGCCGACACGCCCTTTCACCATTCTTCAAGGCTCGCACCAACTTGGGCAGATGTCCATCATCACTCGATTCGCCATTGCAATAAGCATAGATCTCTTCCCAGCTCTTCGCTGCCGGGTACCTCGTAATTTCATCTAGATGTAGATCTGCCGCTCCGTACGCAACATAGAGCAACAGATCCAGTCGGCCCGTCCACTCCAGGATCCGCGCTTTAGTCACGTCATCTAGATACGGCAACCGGATGATCTTGGACAGAAAGATAGTGGAGTTGAGGCCGTGAATGTAGAAGAAATCGAACTTGATCTGCTTATCAGGGCGCTGTGCGGCACTGGTGAAGTATGCTGCATCCATACCAGTCAGTCACTGCCAGATGCCCTCACAGAAGTAGTTGCCAGGAATAAAAAAGTAATAAACTCACCAACCGTATTGATAATCTCTGCTGTCTTCTCTTCAATCTGATCCACCGACACCGTAAACTCCGCTGCATACTTAATCATCTCATCGGGAGCCCGTTTCAGCACCCCATTCCTCATCCGCTGGCCATCATCATACTGCGCAGACCGTGTCAACTTCTCATCAGCCCGAATCTCCTCCAGGATCTGCAGCATAGACTTCTTCCCATGCTTGGCCATACCCCCGGCTGTCTTTTCCACGGGCCAGAAGAACAACGGACCATACCAGTCCTCGTGAACAGCCGTCTGCGCCAGCCCTTCAGCTACAATAGCAGGCTGGTTGAACTCGAGCCCGAATCCGAAATGAATAAACGGATGAATCAACCCTATCATACCAGTTATTTATCAGAATACCCTTTCACATATAAGAGAGAAAGGAGAAAATACCTCCAAACAACCTCCCCAACATCAACTCAGCCACCTCACCCCAGGAATCCGAGAAAAGATACTCCCCCAACACCCTCTCCTCCCCCTTCTCCTTCATCTGACGTTGAAAGAACTCCAGATAATTACTATAATGCTTCTCCTGTCCCAGATACTTCAAGAACCCTTCAGCCTTTCCCATCTGACCCACCACATCCTCATCCACGGGAACCTTGGGGCGCTGATAGCTGCTATTCTTGTCATATGCGGCGCGGATCTGTTCCGGTGTTGCACCGAGGGCATATAGACTTAGGATGTGGTGGGGGATGTGGTCTATACCATACCATTAGCCATGATATATTTTCAGAATAAGAAGCGGATGAGGGGAGAGGACATACTATGAAACCCACTCTGATTAAAAAACACATGATGGGATCGCATATCCTCCTGGAGAACCTCACTCGCCACGCGCGCTGACTCCTCGCTCAGATTATGAGAGACGATCCCATGATCATGTTCAGGGGAGAGATGGATATTCGTAGACGTTGCCATGGGGGCATCGCCCTGAAGTGACCGTTGTAGAGAGGCGGCGGTAGTGGTAGTTGATAGATTCATTCTGGGCAGTAAGTATCCGTCCCTATAATATGAAGACGACCTAGATCGCAATACAGAAGCACTGGTAAAAGCAGACTTTCTGAGCGCCCGACTCAAAGAAGATGATGAAGAAAGGCAGTAGTGTAGAGTCATCCGTAGTACTCTACCCCGGTTTCAATCAGTACGGGGGATGTGTGTGTCAGGTAAGCTTAAATATGCCTGAACCAAAGTTCCAGTGCGGTCTGATCTAGTCAGCAATCCCAGCCAAGTGGTCAGTTCTACTACCGTAGTAGGATATCTCGTATTCATCGTCACTTGGTACTACTGGTTTAAGTAAGGTAGGGTATGATTTGGTTTCTTGGTTCGGGATCGTCGGAGTCGCGAGAACCGAAAGAGAGAGAAATGGTTATTTGGATCGACGTCATGCTGATATGGGCCGGGCCCTAACCTGGTGGGTATCATTCCGTGCAAAGTACGGTTATTATTCTTCTTCTTCGTTAGTTGCTTTTAGATTGAGGGGTAAAGGCTAATCAGATCTATTGTGATTGGGTATCTAGCTAGTTGATTCCACAGGGTTGAAACCAAGGAATTGTGGCTGGGTGATTGGGGAAGTGTATCCGAGGTTGATTAAGTTCTGCAGAATACTAGTAGTAGTATAAGTGGTAAGTGAGTAGTAACTGGTGATTGGTGAGTGGCGGGTGTGGTTAGTGGTTAGGATCTGGGGTAGCTGCATTAGTAACATGATGGGGTCAAGCTCGGGCTCGGCCTCTGGCTCGGTGTTTGGCGCTGTTGCTTACTCTATGTTTTGGGTCTGGACTTCAGCTATTATTATACTATGTGGAGTTGATGCTGGAGTGTACCTTGATGGAATAGGGGATGATGGTGGTCCTACGGCTTCATGTACCAAAGTCTGTTTAAGAATGCACATTAAGTTCCACTCGTATGTGAGATTACTTTTCACTAATGCATGTCCAATCTAACTGGGTATGTTGTATATAGTATGTTGTGTCGGTCTGGGTATTAACTTCACAACTACCGCATGAAATCCTCCAACTCCTTCTTCCGCTTGAGTCGCTCGCGCTCCAGCTTCCGGAACAGCGGGTGATGGCCCACCTTGTCCTTCAGCTGCTTGTTTCGGCTCTTGTTGTACTCGATATACGCCATATCTTCACCGCCAGCCAGGCCACTGAGCGTCGCGGCACTGCGCTTGACTGCTCCCTTTCGCTGGCCGCCCGAACGTCCTGAGAAGAGATCGTCCGTGACGTGCTCTACCTCGGCAGAGGTCTCGTTCTGTAACATCACCTCCTGCAGCAGCTCACGCCGTTCGCTGGGTGTGGCATACGCCAGACCCTCCAGGTTTTCGATGCCTTGCAAGTGAGTAATGACCTTGAATGCGTAGCCCTGATCGACCAGGAAAGCCTGTCGCTTGGAAGAGTAGAACATTTCATCTGTGTCTTTCGACACGAGTGAGTAGAAAAAGGCGTTGAATCCCTCGTCGTTACGACGCTTGGCTCGCAGAATGCGACCAAGTCGTTGGGCTTCCTGACGACGAGAACCGTAGTGAGACGAAATCTGGATCAGACAAGTGGCTTCCGGCAGATCGAGCGATGTGTCTCCGATCTTGGAGAGGAAGATGGTGTTGACTTGTTCATTGTGCTGGAAGTTCTCCAGAATGCGCATGCGCTCGTTCTGTGGAGTACCACCGTAGATATAGGCCTTGTTCAGCTTGAGTGCATACCGTTGAAGAGCATAGACGTTGTCGGAAAAGACAATGACCTTGTCGCCTCGCTTCTCATGGTAGTCGATCAGGAACTGGCAGGCTTGGAATTTCCGAGGGTTCATGATGTATAGAAGAGCAGCCTTTCGTGACTTCTCTCTCATGTATTCGGAGTAGAATTCAGTCGTCATCGGACACCACACCTCAGCGCACTGAACCTTGGCAATGTGCCCTTGCTCGGCCAGTTCCATCCAGTTGGCTTCGTACAACTTTGGGCCAATCAAGAAGTTCAGATCCTTGATCTTGTCATCCTCTCGCAACAGCGTTGCCGTCAATCCCAGTTTACTCTGACACGCGATTGCCGACGTGACCTTCCGGAACATCGATGCAGGCACGACGTGCACCTCGTCAAGAATCATCAGACCCCATTCTCGTGACTGGATCCAATCCATCATCTTCTGCGCATCATGCGATCGAGCACGTGTCTGGGACACCATGGAGTAAGTGGACACGATGATACCAGTCGATCGACGGAACTTCTCCTTGTTGTCTGATGTGAACACGGCAATATCACCGGGATCGATGTTGGACCAGCGTAAGAACTCGTTACGCCATTGCACGACCGACATCGAACTGGTACACAAAACAATTGTTCCCTTCTTGATTGTGCAGCCCGCCGTGATACCCACCAGCGTCTTTCCTGCACCACAAGGCAAGACAATGATTCCACTCTTCGCACGTCCGTTACCGAACATCTTACTCAAACTCTTTTCCTGGTAGCTTCGAATGCGTGCTGCCGGCTTCAAGTCGATATCCAAAGTGGGATTGATCTCATCATTTCGGAAATCATACTCCTCCAGCGCTGGACAGCCCATGGCCTGACAGCGCGCCTTAACGGGTTCGACTGCTTCGTTGGGGATTTCGAAACTGTGCACTTGAACTTCCTCCTCATCATCGTCGTCGTCGCGAATAGCCAGCAGGATATCGTCCTCTTTACGAGCTTCGCCTGCACCGTCTTCCGCCGGCTTCTGCTCCGAAGCCTGCCTAACACCCGCTGCATCCTTTGTACCCGGAATCACCAGGCCGCCCATTTTCGGGGCCGCCTGCTGAATAATGCCCTCCGTGCCTTTCAATCTCTGAGACCCAATAACCTCATCCTGCAGCAGCATCTGCAACATCGCCGGATCGGTACTCTCCACGAAGAAGCGGTTATGTTTCAGCACGACCTTGATCTTTCCGTAAGATTTCGTGAAATCGAGAATGAACGACTTGATGGTATCCGGAAGCGGCGTTTTCGACAATCGATCCAGAAAGTTGATGATATCCTGGGGCAACAAACCCACAGAGACAGCCGCATACAAACTATTTCCCGTCAATCGGTATTCGTGCAGATGGGTCGGACGCGACAGCGGTTCGGCGATAGTAGTCAAGAAGTCCTGCGCCTGGGGTGCAAGCGGGGAGAAACTCTCCAGGGTGATAGTTCCTTTGAGAGGATCGATCCAGAGCGGGCGGTTCGCATGATCGGGTTTCAACGATAGCGAGGAAAAGTCCTTGTAACCGAAATCGGGGTCCTGTCTCTGTACGGTGGCGCTTTTCTTGTTGCTAAAGGATTCGAGGGAGAATTTCTCCAAGACACCTTGTAAGCAAAAGATGTCAGCATCCAGACCCTATATGCAGGAAACTCCACTTCTACGCTACCTTTCAAGTTATCATCCTTGACTTCTTCCTCGTAGTCTGAGTATTCATCGCTACTACCAACATCCGGCACAGGTGTGGGCCGTTTCGATGCTCTACTTGACCGACCGCTATCCGTAGCTTTGCGTTTGATGGGCATTATGTATGTATGTAACCTCTTCCCTATTCGACCAGGGTCGAAGGGGAACGTCTAATGTGGTGAAGAGGATGCGATGCGGGACGGTGAGAGAATGATGTACGCGGGTGCTCCGAAAGGCTACCGGCGCCTGGACGAGCGTGAGAGGAAAACGGCAGCTCGATAGCTCCAGGTGTCGTGAACCGAATCGACCAGCTGAAGCAGTGAGGCACAGAAGCTGGTGAAAGCGCGACGAAGATAGACTGAGAGCAAGAAAAAGGCAGGGGAGATGATCGAGAACGAGAAGCATGAGATGAGGCTCGGGAATGACAAATGCACGCCTGAGGCAACAAGGCGAGTGGCGATCCGACGATGCAGCACTGTGATTGGCTGGATGTCACTCACTAGAGGGAACCGGCCGGTTTGACGTAGTCTAGTCCTTAGGTAAAGCCCGGAGCTTCTTGCGAGTCCGCGGCTCCGAGTCCACCTCTGTTGAGACAAACCCGTCGAGGCCAGAAATACATTCACAATGAACACGGTATGTTCCAGTTCCTTTATAGATTTGTCTATGATGTCTTGCTAATAATTGCTTCGTCACTATCTAACAGATCCGATCTACATGGTGAGCGAAGCCTACAACGAACACCTGCCTGCTAGGCGTCCACACCACTGGGAATACACACAATACTAACGGAAACTCACCCAACCCAACAGGATAGGCTGGGGCACCCTTTGCGTCGGTAAGAAGCAATCTCTGAACCCAAATCAATGTATCCATATCACTAATATTGAAATGACAACAGCTGGCGGCGGAGCCTACTACTTTGCTAAGAAATCCATCAACGCCGACCGTCAGACCCGATTCGAAGCGGAAGTGAAGCGCAAGGCGCAGCTGGCTGCGATGGAAGCCGAGCACCGACGCCAGAACGCCCCGAACAATGTCCCGACTCCTAGTCCGACCGAAGATCCGAGCCTGAAGCGCGCCCAGTTAGTGCGTGCCGATGATGTGGGCTCGCCGAGTGCTGAAGCTAGCCATGACCCCGCACCGACTCGTCACGAACCGGAGACTGAAGCTGAGCGGGTGCTGGAAAAGAGTAAATATGAGGCTACGCAGCCTTTCCGGCCTCCGAGGGGAAACCGCTTGTAGGGCTGGTGGGTAGTTAGTTTGCACATAAGTATATGAGATGGAGGCGGCGATGGTAAAACAAGGGGGAGAAGAAGAAAAGGCTATGTTGTGGCATTTTCATGTATCATAGTTTGGTGTTTGGAGCTGCAGGAACTAGGTATAGTATGACCTGCTTGAATATCTTGATCGGCGGGGTTATCCCTGCTAACGTAGGGGCATAGCTACAGTAAGTTGATCCGTAGGTCGGGATGGACTCTTTTTCTATACAGCAGTGCTTTAAGGAGTAGATGTTGATTTCAGTAATGCTTCGATTGAAATTAAGTAGCCATAAGGTATTGTTCTATAGGTAAAATAGCCACGATCAATCCGGAGAGAAAGCCGTGGAGCATCCACCAATCCCACCAGAAGAGAGACGCCCACACTGATGGGTGTAACCGGGCTGGCACCTGTCCAGATCCCTTCCCCAATCATGAGACTTTCTTCAACGGGTAAGGATGCAACTATGCATGTGATAACCCCAACATAGTAAGGAGAAAAAGCAAAGCAAGGAACGCCATCGAAACTCCCGCCCGCCTTAAACAGAGGTATGATATGCATCTCTGCCAAAAGAAAAGCCCCGAGTCATGTCGCGTGAGTCCTTCATACGGAATGTATGTATGTAAGCAATCGCCCAGCTCCCTTACGCCTTGACCGATCAGTAATTGTTGATCCCGAAAGAAATGATTCAGTGCAAAAAGTGAAAAATCGCGCGATATCGAGAAGTTTCCTAACGCCCGGAGTGGGTGGTGGTCGTTCGGAAATGAGCCCCGCTAGTAGGGTGGCAGTTATATCCGATCGGATATAGAGACTACCTCCGCTTAGCGCGCGTGGAAGCATAGCGGTGGGTGCGGCCTATCATGGATTATTAATATCAGGTGTTTGATTATGAATGTTTCAGAGGAGAGAAGATCTTACTTGTTGTGATTGGGGTATCCATTGTTCTTCTCACGAGAACTCTCAAGAGCTGGAGGTACGAAGGGAAGCACCACGGCCGTGAATAGACAGGAGCTGGTGATGAAGCGGGAGATGCGAGTGTCTGGCTGAGGACGGCGGACGGAAAAGTGGCGGATGGTTGGGCGGGCGAGTTGCATGGCGATAGACATGGTGAACGGTGTTTTGGTTGAGGGAACTGGCGTTATGAATATTGCCAGAAGTAGTATTCGACCAGGAGAGTGGGTTGTCCAGGAAAGTAATAAGTAGATAGGAGGAAGCGGCGCCTTTTTCAAGGGGGAAGTAAGTTCAACAGGTTAGCGTTCTTAGTTGCAGAATTTCAGGTCAATGCAGGGACCAAGAGGCAAAGGTTAATACTAATGATAAAAAGGTTGCACAACTGCTGTGCGGCAATACGGACCTACTTATAATAATTATGGTATACGACTCTATCAAGGCTTGTTAGAAGCAAATGGAGGATCAGCCTACACCTCAGCCGAACGGACCGTGTTACCCTGTGGGGGGGGGTGGTTGTCTTGCGGGGGTCCAAAAAGGCCCACAGACCCATGATGATGCTAGGCTAGTCCCTCAACTAATGCTGATTGATGATGACACTTGAGTTTTGGGCCTTGAGAACCTTGAGGGATAAACGAAAAGCGCGCGGAAAAACGGTCCCGAATCATGTAGCCATCAGCTGAAGATCGGATAGCATGCCAGGCAGTTGTCGATTCTAGTGTCTATGTAGACTAGTCGATGTTCATACACATCACTCCATACCTGTCTCCTGCATTCCTACCACAATGGATGATGCATGGACCACATGACTTATGTGGGCACCCACTGATGTACCGTCGCATTGACCGAAAGGGCCTTGATGATCCAGTCTCAACACTGTTGAACTGACTCACAGGAGTGAAGGTGAGAACTCACGCCATCGAGGGGCAGCTGATCGCGATTTCCGGCCGAAGGAAACAGCGGGGCTCAATGACGGACCGGCCAGGCACGCGGGCGGCGATCGCGGTAGTTGGTTAGTAGTACTGTAGTAGACTAGACTAGTAGTCTAGTTGTTGCTCAGGCGCGGTTGGGCATGGCGTGCCAGGCTGCAATTTCCCCCCCCCAAAACTGTGGTCCCGGCCCGCTGGAGTTTAAGGTCTGGTCACTCGCTTGTCTGATGGCGGGACTTGACTATCCGACCTGGCGTTGTGTGGTTCTTGACGTATGAGTGAAGAACAGACTGGTTAAGTGACTGCGGTTGGTCCATGACAATAGTTGTCACTATTTGTGTGTACGTACACATTGAGCACGAGCCTAAGGTGATCAGGGGCAGCTAGGTGTCCATCTACCTAGACCATTCCATTGTTACAATGTAGGAGGGGAGATTAAAGGAGATTAAAGGGGAGAGAAACACGAAGCAATCCTGCATCGATCATGCCACTTCCCCCCACGGGCGCCTGAGGCCGCCAATTATAACTGACGTCACCGATAAGTCCCCGCGAATCATGACTCAGCTATTAGTCAAGCTTAGCTTCCCTCCCATTCACAACAATGAATACCCATGGGTACTCCATAGAACTCTGAAGATAGTACTTCAGAATATTGTGTGGTGTTGTAGAATCTCTGGCATGTGGGAAGACGTGTCTATCTACTACAAGGACAACTTTAGAGTGACATTCGTTGTCCTTCGAATAATCGTGTCAGCACTAGCAGCTTTCATTCTGGTAAATATAAATAGTGCTAAGCTTCATGGAGATACTATCCAACACTTCAATGGCTCCACATGTATTCTGCCTTCAAGCACTCCCGATGCTAACCATGTTACTGATCGGGTTGAGTTCACTCTCGTTTATTCGTTTGTTCACCATATCACGCTGCAGCTACTAAACTAGTATACTAGTATATGCATGTCCAGATCCCACTGCTGGACTATCCGTGGTGGAAATAACCGGGGGTACCGATCTGAGGGGCTCGGGCCTTGATGCTTCTCCATCCACATGTGGATGTCAATATTGCTGAACATATGGAGTGCTCCTAGTAATATAGTTTAGGACAGACACTATGCGTTACCTCAGCCGTAATGCTCACTGTTGTTACTGAATACTGGTATTATCATGTGACTCCAATCTTGATTATAAGTGAGACGATGGTTTCTCGGCCATGAACTTCGCACATCTTTGCAGAACCATCAACTCTAACAAATCTGATAGAGAATATTGATTCGAAAATGGGTGAACGATGAGAGAAATGTTTTGATTGCTGACATAGTGCATCCCTTTAGCAGGGGTTTGACAGGTTTATCTTTTACCATTCACTGTCACCCTCACCGCCTGTGTCATGGCAACAGTTACTAGTCATGGTCTAGACTACTACATGTACCTATATGGCATACGTGACTCGAAAGTTGACGTTCACTATGGAAGGTGGCCCATCAATCACTGATGCCAATGAGAAGGGAGACTATATGAGCCCTCAGAATAAGTATCGTTCTGACTATAACGATGAAAGCGACAGCGAATTTGATGTAACCTGGTCTCCTGGGGACGGGATATGTCCATCAATAGCAGACTTCCATCATTGCTGTCAGTCCAAGTTCGATGAATGGAAGCATGCGACCTCAATGTCATTGAATCACACACTCTCTTTCCCATTCTACTTAGATGCCTTCTTAAGCCTTCTCAAACGTGTCCCCCCGTTTCTATCCTGCCTCCCAGAAAATGTCCACATTACAGGGAGACGGAGAACATTTCTTATGCTTAGATCCTCTCTACAGATACACTCAACAGACGATCCATACTGCGATCAACCTTACAAGCTGATTGATTATCTTCAATGCCTCGGATCTCCAAAGCCTGTCGTCTACAAGCTGAAGGTTGAGACGCAATTACAGCCCGTACTTCCCATACACACCAAAGCCTTTCGCTCTGGGTATTTCACAAATATCATCTTAGCTTGGTCCTACATCGTCTCCTGCCGCTGGTCAGAAATTTTCCAACGAGCAGGTTGGAACAGCCAGATACTCCATGAAAATGGTATGCAGATTGAGGACTCTTTCTGGCATCTTGTCACGCAAGGCTGCTGGCTAGCACTAGTGAAGAAAGAAACCGCAAAATTCCGTTCTCCATGGATGATGGCAAGTGAGGGGGCTAAAAAAAACCGGTAAATCTGAAATGTCAGTCGATATTCGTTGTTGTGGACTAACTGGTTTATGAAGCAATTGGGTGCCAGTCACACCAAATTCGTCTCTGGCCTTTGATATTCTTGTAGATTTTTGCATATCGGAAGGCCTGGAAATGGAATTGGTCACAGGTCTTGCGTCTGTTTTATTATTGACCTCGCGGAACACACCTTCGCCTATCCTCGCTCCTGCTGTAGCAGCCCCGACTGCTTCTGCTGCCCCCCCACCAAGGGCAAAACACGCGGTATTTCATGCATTTTACCAATCGATCGATAAATTTCTCACTTTGAGCTCCACGCAAGACGCCTTGGACTCGTTAATATGCAGTGCCTTTTTTGACCCGTCTGTTCCCTGTAATTTCATGGGAGCTGCATCTTTGGGTGTGAGGAAAGCCTTCTCAACGGTGGACAAGATTGATAACCAACAGCTCCTCAAAGCGATCACATATAAGAACCCGTCTCTATGCCATTTCTGGGTCGCTGCCATGCGTGGAGGTCAAGTAGACTCGTTTCTGAACATGAGTCTGTATAATCTACCGCCTATATGTCTTGTGTCCGCCTTTTGGACAGATGCTACTCAATCCTTTCTCCAGATGGAGTATTGCTCGAGTGAAGTAGAAAAGAAAGTCGTTACTCGGGCAAAAGAGTTTCAAACTTCGTTCTATTGCCGGCCAGGCACATCGGTGCCCTGGTCTCCCGCACCTCCCTTCGGCACAACTCCCGTCGAGAATGTCAGTCTTGAAATCCGACAACACCTCGGACATATGCACAGACCTATCTCATGGACCACATGCTGGGTTCTGAGTTCTGGAAAGAGGATCCCCGCGACCAAACCGTACCAAATTCGTCAGTCCCAGGCTCAGAGGGTGTATCACCCTTCATCTACAGAGCATTCTAACGAGTAAGTCCCGAAATATCTGCATCACCGCTTTATATACTAACTATCAAGTGTGTCCCACGCCGAACAAATTGATGCTGATGAACAGTCGGCGATTGCAACATCTCGTTTGTTCAATTGGCATAGAAGCTATGATGATGGCATCTGGCTTGATGATGGAACGGGCGACATTGAAACGATTCGTCGAATCCAGCAACACCAATGGATTATCGATCCATTTTCTGCAAGTGAGCTTGACGATTTGGTAGAAGAACCTAAGGATCGCGAGCTTAGCTTTGAGAGTATCTTGCGGTGGATAGATGAAGCCGAGAACCATCGACACTAGCACCCGTAAGTTGCTTCAAGGCCGATTTCTCATACGATGTTTCTAGAGTCTTGCTAGAGAGATATGATGGTGCATTAAAGTTCAGAAATCTTCGATATCCAGCGCGGTATATGTTCCGAGTTCCGAGTCAAAATCCATCACAAGTGGCCTGTGAGGCTGAAGGAGCTGAGATCAGAGTCTCCACGCCGGTGTGAATGAGTCCATGCTACTGGTGATTACAATCCTTCGCTAATCACAATACAACATGGTATAACAATCACAAGGTTGTGCTATTGTTGGGAATGACCTTACTGCATGAGGCGCAATCCCATTCCCACTCCGTAAATCTTCAGAGGAGTATGACCACCCCCGCCCCCAATCAGGGAAAACAGATTCAATGCGCTAGAACCCAGGGAGATCATGCCCTGTTGGGACTTCATAAAATTCAGTATTCGATAAAGCGTGGGGCTTCTTTTTGGTACCAGAGTCTTTCTACCGCAAGTGACAAAGCCTTGCCAGGGGCTTGTGGCTCAGAGTCCTAACTAGTGACTAGTGTCCCTTAGCCGTCTGTGGATTGCCAGAAGCACCCTTAGGAGCAGACTTGCGACGCTTCATTCAGACGGGGCGATAAATTATCAGGCTCTATATCACAGCATTTTATTAACACGTTGAAAGGAACGATGGAGGATCATAAAAGACGTAGGTGTTGGGCGCAAAAGGGTTCTCACACATCCTTTACTATTCTTGATGCGATCCTCGATGTTCGGAATAGGCTAACCTTGCGGAGAAGGATTCTAAACGATTTCTCGAATCGCATCTTACAGTGGGTCTGGCGAGACCGGCGTGGCGGAGCACCAGATAACCTCACTCTTGCACCGAGTACGTGCAGCGAATGTTAATCCTAGGGCAGTGTAATAGTCGCAGGCACCACAAGTGGAGAGAGACCCTATTTTCACCGGCTGCTAGCTATGCCATAACTTAGCCATTTGGCATGAGCTCCGATCTAGGCGTTGCGGCCGAATTTACTCATGTGTCGTTTATCTACCCCAGCTTTTGGCCCCATGTGCTCAAACACTGGTTCCCCTTGGCTCTTCCAGCCCCCAGGAGTTGACTTCTGCTTCGGTTCCATGCATTAAACTAGGTATAGTGCAATGCTCATCCTTATTTGCAACACAGCCTGGTGATGAGTGCTAACCTCAATCGGCAGGTGACTACGCTTACTGCTCTTGCATGCTCATGAGCGGATGCAGAATCAACAAAGTGTTGCAATGAGCTGATGCTTGCTGAATCTTCACATCACCTATGATGCTTAATTATGGCTTTTTACTGTGAAACCATGACAATACCAATGCTCCATGGATTCAGGAGGCATAGTGCTGGCTAGCCAGGGCCATGTGGTTGTCAGCCTCCAACTGTCAGCCGCAAGGTCACACCAAGACTGGATCTTAGCCCCTCTATCAAAGCACCGTAAGTAGGAGTTTCTCATAATAATTAAACATTTACCCTGCACTGTGTTTCACATTCAGGAGAACCATGCACGGCCTGGCTATTTCAGTACAACGACCGAAGGAAGATGGATTGAGGTACCCGAAAATAGTGGGCAATGGCCGTGGGGGCGAAATCTACCATCGCCCTCCTCATGCCCCATTCAAACTGCAGGGTCGTGTTGGTTTCTCCATCATCCTCAAGGCTTCATTCGCTGACAGTGCTTTGAAACAGTGCCCCTGTCTAGAACTGGGCAATCGTACATGATTCTTTCGTGCCTTGTACGTGTTGCCTGCAGCTCCCGTGGGAGCTGAGTCCAAGGATGGCCAAGTACAGGACCTGCATGAAGCGTCACAGATATCTGTTTATTTCAAGCGTTCTGTTTATTTCAAGCGTTCTGTTTATTTCAAGCGTTTAAGATACGAAGCAGACATCCACGGTATACTGAGTGAGAGGTATCGCGTTCAACTGCTCGGGCGTTGTTCCGCTACGACTTCATACGGGGATCATCCTCCGAATCGCCCCCAATCTCACTCTAGAACACGAAAATCTTTTCTCTCGATTGGTCTTGGGTCGACTCCGCCCCCCCCCATGAAGGATGTAGCCTCAGGAGCTACTCCAGGAACCTACCCATTGCGGACGGCTTGTCATGTCCTGAGTGGGCAGTGTCAGAGCCTTGGCCGGGCTCTGACCTGGTGTTGCTAATGGCACACGGGAACTGTTGGTTGGGGGCCAATGATCCATCCGACTTAAAAGGATGAGATACATCTCCTAAGCTGGAGCAGATCACAAGAACTCCTTCATTTCATTATCGTCACTCTCTTCGTTTCCCTTCTTGGGACAGTCACTCTTTTTGTCTTCTGCAAAGACAGTCATTCTTTAGATTGCTTCAATCCTATACCTTCATTTCACTTCATACGACCAATACGACCAAAGATCTAGTTCAAGATGGTTAACCCTCTCCACAATGGAGTGGCCACCGGTCTCTTGGCTTCCTTCCTCATTCAACAGGGTCTGGCTTTAGAACTGACCGCATTCAACCCTTCTACAACAACGAACACGCAGGTCAAGGTGGCGGCGGCTGGGGCTGAAATTCAGACTCAGGACTATTCCAGCATTGATCTGCGAACCAGTCACTCGTTCTACTGGGGTGGTAAGTGTACAACTATTGGCGCTCGACTATACAACGAAATAGCTAACATGCTTGGAATAGCTTCTAGCGGTGGCGGGTCCACCTTGGGTAACCTGACTCTCGTGGACGAAAGCATTCTCCCCATGGAGTCTTTCAGCGATATGGTGGAGAACATTCAGTGCACCAACTCGAGTATTACCTTGGGCTTCTCAGACTCAGATGCGTTCTCCTATGCAAAGAACTCGTGGACTTGGGTGAACAAGGCCGCCAACAACACATTTCTTATGGTGGCTGGCGTCCAGCAATGTAGCTGGAACACCCAACGTGTTCCTTTCGTCATTACGGCTGCCAACTTTCAAGACAACTCTACAGTACGGTTGGCCGGCAAATCGGCGACCTGGGATGATGTCCTTAGAAACCATGAGATCACCATCGGCAAGGCCCCGAGTGACATGGCAGTCGAGCTCACCAAGCGAGGCATAACTTCAGGAACTAAGTCTGGTTCGATCAGTATTGACAAAACCGCGTCCGACAAATCAGTGAAGATCTTCTCGAAAGACGACCTCACCCTCAGCGCTGAATGCAAATCGTGCGGAACTAGTGGTGAATTTGACGTTGAATTCAAGTACAAAGTGAAGCCAAGTGGCAGCAGTATCTTTAGCGAGATCGGAAGCGCATTTACTGGAGATTGGGATGTCGAGACCGCGGAACTTACGCTTACACCGAAAGATGTCGAGCTAGACATCACTCCTGCTCTGGACCTGAGCGGAAACCTGACCAAATCCTACTCGGATGAAGCGCAGATTGCTGCATTGACCCTTGAGGGAATTAAAATCCCAGATGTCTTCACCCTGGATGTGCAGCTTGCTTTCGACATCGGAGCCAGCGCTGGACCCGTCAATGGCGACGCGTCCATCTCCTACCCCATGAAAATCTCGCTTGACAATGATGCAGAGGCTGTTCTCGACATTGCGAACAAGAAGGTCACCCATAAGGACTGGACTCCGACCATCACGACTTCTGGTGTCCAACTTGATGCTGAGATCGATGCTACTCTTGAGGCCTATGTCAAGGCTTCCCTCGAGTTGGTCCTTTCTGTCGGCAGTACGTACAATGATTATGAGTATATTAAAGTTGCAACGCTAATCCTCTCTAGAAAAATGGGGATACGAAGCCGGTATCTATCTCAAGCCCTACCTGGCAGTAGACTTCACTGCCGAAGCATGTGAGTGAACTGACAAGACCTGGTCTATGGTAGCCTCTGCTGACAACATGTAGCCACGAGTGGCACTTGCTCGGACACGTCCAAGAACTACCACTATGCGATCGAAGTGGAGCCTTATGCTGGAATCGAGCTCGGCGCGGAGGTGGCTAAAGTGAGCGACGAGGGTAACCCGATTGCGGATGCCACTCTTGCAGTAAGTCGAGCCTAGCGACGGGCGAACATGCGCTTGGAGAGCCTAGCTAACCCCTTCGCAGTCCTTCACCAAGTCCATGTCGTCGACCTGCATTGGTTTCGACAGTATCACTTCGACCAAGACTGCCACTTCCACGAAGACCAAGTCGACTGATGAATCCTCGTCCGACGATGAGACTTCTACCAAGTCCAAGTCCAAGTCTAAGTCCAAGTCGTCCACCAAGTCATCCTCCAAGTCATCCTCCAAGTCATCCTCCAAGTCGGCTTCCAAGACCAAGTCTCACCCTAACAGCGCATCTGCATCTGCTACTCCAACTGGCCACTCTTCCACCCACAAGCACACCTCCAGCTCTACCAAGTCTTCGGAAACCAGCAAGTCCACCATCACGTCGTATCCTAAGACCACCTCGGCTAAAGCCACGAGTTCCCACGCAGCTGCCAGTTCGTCTGCTCACAGCGTGCACAACCACGGTCGCAGCTTCAGACAGCATGGCCGTATCTAAGCAGCTTCATGGAAGTTATGAGCTGATGCTGTCTCTGACAGTTACCTTCATGTTATGATTTCATTTCTTGTCCGTGTGTGCGCATGCAGGCAACTGTACTATTTATTATAGATTATTTGATTGGCATGTACCGCTGAATTTCAACGTTCGTGTAATGAGATTAGTTAAAGAGTTACAACGGCTTCACAGCATTTTATTTACATAGACTACCTACACATGTTCGGATTTTGACTTTCCATCTGTAGCTCGACGATGTACATGACTTGAGTAAAATTTGGGTCCAGCATCCGGCAATTTGCATACTTCGTTGCTGATTTCCGCAATGTGGCCATACTTGTAGTACTATCAACTATATAGCACTAGAACAGTTGAATTAATTTAGAAATAATGGTGTCTACACCACGTGTTCAACAGCCGTGTAGAGTGTAAGTTAGTAGGGCGGCCACGATCACGTGCAAAGCCCGGAGCTCCGCCATCTCCGCCTCAGGATCCAGCATATCGGTGCCTCACTTGCCTCTGCTTCACAATCTCACTCATTCCCAACAACAACACGCCCAGCAATGGCATCCCATCAACTCGCCATTGCAAAGGCCTCCTTCTCCGCAGGACTCTTACGTCCAGACCCGACGTCCGTCGCGCGCGACGAAATCACAGCCTTTCACACCAGCCTAGACCGGGCGCTATCGCATTGCACCCCGGCAAACATCCAGGTTTGAACCGATGCGTCCTTGACCACTGGCGATACACCAGAAGTACTAAAATGATTTTCTCTCTTGCGCGCCCCCTAGACCTGCAAACAATGGCTCCTGGATTACGTCGTCTCGTCAGGTAACCGCGTAGGCGGATGGGCCAAATACCTAGCTGCGTTGTCTGGATCATTCGAAACATCATCCACACCATCGCCGGCCGAGAGTGGTGGGAAACGGTCGACATCGACATCTGGCAAGCGGAAACGCCTCCATATCCTATATTTGCTGAATGATGTGCTGCACCATACGAAATACCACCTGGATACGAGCGCCGCGTTCAGCACTTTGAGCGGATCGCTGCAACCGCATGTGGTCGAGCTGTTGGGCTACGCGGCGTCGTATGATCGCGAAAAGAACCCGAAGCACCATCGTCGGTTGGATGAGTTGCTGGATATCTGGGAGGAGAATCGCTATTACGGCAGTGATTATGTGAATAAGCTACGGGAGGTGGTAAAGAATGCTTCGGTGTCGGGTCCGGTCAAGACGTCGCTGAGTGTCGAGGAGAGTAATTTGGATTTCGCGGGAGCTGGTGCGAAACCAATGCCCTCGGGCAAGGATGTCCCGTTCGTTATGCCGGCTACGCATGGTGATCCGTCTATGCCGTACTACGATCTACCTGCGGGAAACCTCGTTCCACATATTATCCCGGATTCGACGGTGCCGCTGCGACCGGACACAATCAAGCCGCTGCAGTTCTTGGCTGGGCCGGCGGACGAGAATCTTGTCGTGGCGCTGAAGAAGTTCATGAAGGACGTGGATCGGATATATGGGACTGGAGAGCCGGAACACGAAGAGGACGAGGTGGTGGATATCGATGATCTTGGCCAGGTGGTCGTCCGCGATGCCGACGGTGAGGTAGTCGAGGGAGAAACATACTACGGATGGTCACGATCATTCTGCCAACAGATGAAGAAGCGCCAGGCAAAGGGAGACATGAGTCGCAGCCGGAGCCGCAGTCGCAGCCCCGTTAAGCGGCGACGATACAGCGACAGTGCCAGCGACTGGAGTTCGCGCTCACGATCACGAACTCGTTCACCGCAACGCAGATCACGCCGGCGTGATTCCCGATCCCGAACACGATCTCCGTACCGACCTCGCAGTGCATCCCGATCCAAGTCGCGGGAGCGATCCAAATCCTATTCTCCACGTCCGCCAGCTCCCCGATCCATCCCTCCTCCGCCTGAATACCATCATCATCAACAACAACCTCAATATCCACCACCACACAATGCATACGGCAATGCAGCACCGCCGCCCCCTCCGGCTCCGGTAGGATATCATGCACCACCACGGCCGCCACCACAAATGGGGTATCCCCCGGCCGGCGGCGTACCACCGCATTTCGCTTTCCCGCCGGGAGGACCGGCCCCGCCTCCGCCTCCGCCACCGAACTATCAGGGTGCTTGGCCGCCGCCGCCGCCGCCTCCGATGAACCTCGGGGCGGCACCTCCACCGCCGCATGCTCCGCATCAAGGTTCACATTTCCCACCGCCATACGGACAGGGTCAGTATGTGCAGCAGATGCCACCGGGGTCGTATCATTTCCCTCCTCATCCAGGAAGTCATCCCGGAAGGGGAGGATGGTATGGTGGAGGAGGGGGAAGAGGACAGGGATGGCGCTGATATCACAAGATTGCTTGTACTATACTGACTGATACAACACTACATTATGCCATATGCCATATATCATTAATGAACGACAGATAACAGTCGATTAACCCTACATACATAAAATTATAACATATCACATCCTAATAGTAACGTAACCCATGTACTGTACCAGAACCAATCACAGATAAGAATCCCTAAACCCTGTCCCCCCTTCAGACCACTAGTCTCCCTCGAGACTTGATCACCATTCGCACTAGCTAGCACCAGCAGACGCAGACGCAGACGCACTCGCCGAGGCACTCGCACTCGCAGAAGCAGAAGCAGAAGCCTGCGCCACCAACATACTCTCCCTCTGCTTACTATCATTAATGGCATCATTCTTATCCTTGATCGCATCGTCATACGGCTTACAAGCCGACGAAACAGGCTGGGATGATCCTTCAGACTGTAGACATTGACATATTAGCATCATACCCACACCCACTCCAACAAACCCAAATCCAAATGAAAATAAAGGGATAGATAAACATACATTCGGCTGCCCATCACAACACATAACCTGATGTTTACACTGATCATTCGGCGTATCGTCTTGCATTCCAGTACCTATACCCCAACCACCACCAACATTAGCCATCAATCAAATCCAAAACATCTCACACCCCAAAGGGATACTTGAAATACTTACAATCCAACCCCAACACCGAATTAACATCAATCCCCCCAATCCAAGGAATCAACATCCCCAAGGGCTGAGTAATCTGCGACGCGATATCATTGATAGATTCGCAGCATTGTTTTGACCGTTGAGAGGGCGGGCACGTGGAGTTGTTGGAGTCCGTTAGGGTTTCGTTGACGATGATTTTGGCGATCGCGGCGGAGAGGCCTTCTGGTGTGTCGAGGGCTGAGGGGGTTGATGATGAGGTGGATGGGGAGGTGGTGCTGGAGGATGGGGAGAGGGGGATGCAGGTTGTTAGGGGGGTTAGGATTGTTATGGTTATGGTTATTAGGGTGGTTAGGGTGAGGGGGAGGTGCATTTTGCTGATGTGACTTCTTTGTGACTTTATGTAGTATCTGTGTGTATATATGTTTTTGGGTATGTGTCTGGGGGAAGTATAGAGGCGTGTGTTGGATGAGGGATGTGTATGTATGTATATAGGTGGTTGAGTTCAGGAATATTAGGGTAGGGTAGGATAGGGATGGGAAGGGGAGGGGAGGATATATCCTCCTGTCTCCCTCGTTGCCTGGCAGGCTGGAACAACAACATTCCAGGGGACACTTAATCTAAGTTGACTCTGGATTGGAATGGTATGGTATGGTCTCCAACAGGGTTGATGGAATGCGGATGCGACTCCCGTTGTTCCGTCAGCTGTCTACAGTCTACAGTCTACACTACAATTCTTGCTGCAGACTGGCTGATAAGTATCCGAATACTTAGATACTGTGCACTCGTGCAGCTGCTTCTCGCATGGCTATATCTACCCAACACACTCACTGCAGGAGCAAAGTACGCAAGGGATATGAGTCATGATTCAGAAACCGTGCATTAGTAGATGCACCAGGACCAGCCTTAAATCAAAGGACGATAGTAATACACCAGAAACAAGGAAGAAGAAAAAAACAGGAAAGGCTACTATGCCAATGGCCGCATATATTCATGCGCTGCTCTCTGCACTACAAGAACAGCACAAAATGAGAGTGAGTGACGAGGGTCAGAAAAAAAAAAAAAAAAGCCAGGGCTGGCAGACCTAAAAGTCCTCTCAGCGAACACAAGTCGATGTCAGAATTGGTGTTTAATACCAAGCCGTTGTCAACTCAAGTCGTTCAATTCGAGGTACTGGTGGAAAAGAAAAGAAAATAACAAATCAAACACACATGCAGTAGGGTCTCACGGAGCCTTGGCTCGGACGTCGCCCGTTTCTATGAATCGCTTCGCCATCGCTTTCGAAATCAGAGCGCGCTCGCTTGTCAATCATAACGCCGGGAGAACACGTCAAGCTTGTCTTCGGCGACGTGCCTCCCCAGATTGCCCACAGACTCCACCGTAAAACGTAATTCGTGAACTCGTCCCCAGGCCAGATGAGGGAAGTAGCCATTACAGCCACCCCTTCCCCACCCGGATGCGCCTTCAGAAGGACAGGTCGGCCGAGTTCACGCCGGACTCGCGTCTGGCAGATTCGGAGCTATCGTGAGCCGCTCCAGTCGTGCCGGCAGCTTGACGGGCAAGCATACCGCTGGTCGAGGTGCCGCTGTTGCCGCTGGTTTGGCTGCTGCGGCTGCTTCGGCTGGACCCCTTTCCATCATCGAGGTCGGCAAAATTCGCCATGCGGCGTTGGGTGTATTCGAGCATGACTCGGCTGTAGTCCTCGACGGACGAGTTGGGGTCGGCAGCTCGACCTGTCTCAAGATGGTCGCCGGGAGGGCGACAGCCCTCGCCTCCGGTAGGGGGCATCGAGTGGTATTCGTCGTCATGCACAGCAGTGGCCATCTTGTTGTCTAGACAGGAGGTCAGCCATGTCCAACCGCCGTAAATAGCTACGATGCAAAGCTGGTTCAGAGAACATCATCGTTGATACGGAAGAGCCATCATGGTCAGATGATCTGTCGACATCACGTATAAGGGTGAGACCAGTGCATCAAGGAATATCCCTTTCCATGCCTATACGGCAACAGACTGCGCATGCTTACCTCAAGATCAGTGGAACAGAACGGTAAGGAAAAGTAAGATCAATAGTTATTGAAGGTCAAAGACAATAGTTTCAGGAATAACCACGGAAGCAGTGTGGGATCCCCAAAATAAGACTAGCACGAGGTTTCAGGTGGACAGATTTGGTACGCAACAGCTTTTGGGCAGCAACAACAATCGGGAAACTCTTTACATCGGACCAACATATAAGATGGGACCATCCGCAAGATAAATGCTCTGACCAGACCGACATGAGATCACAAAACGGACCATGACAGAACCGCTGGAGCGACCTGTCGACCCTAGGGAGTAGGCTCGAATTGTCCATGGCCCGAGAGCAGAGGAGTCCACCGTGTTGTTGTGCCTCGAAGACCCTCATAGGACAGCCATGACATCATTTGCCGTCGCAGGGCTCCTCTCAGTGGCATCCTTCATGCAGAAGAAGGTCGATGGGGCCTGCACCGGCGTTCTTACCTTCAGTTTCTTCCCCCCCTCCACTCCATCGGTGCGGCGACGGCAGCGGCGGCGGCGACTGGGGCCCGGACCAGACCTCCTCCACCAGGGAGGGAAGGATTATCGGAAATAACCGTACTCCACTGGCTCTCTTCGGCCGGTGTTACCCCCGGATGGTCCACGGTCCCATCATTTAGAGGAGCAGCATGAGGTCACCGATGGAATGCGACTGGTGCATTGGAGAATTTATGGCGTCGAAAGATCGACAGTCTGCGCTTACTGAAGTGCACGTCCCTGCAGATCGGCACTTGTACTGGCGGAGGCCTGGATGAGTCCGCAGGCAGCCTAAGAATCCAACATGAGGTATGATGGTTGACAGCGAGCCAGCCATCATGGTGGGGGGAAGGGAGTTTGTCCCAGGAGCTAGTTGCATGCACAACATGTGAGAGAGAGATGGAGGGAGACTATGGGGACGCGATATGTCATGGATGAACCTAAAAGTGAAAGGACGCTAGTTGACTAGGAGTATGCAAGAGGAGGGTTAGCGTGGAGGATGGCTACTAATCATCTCCGGTGCCAGTAACTGTGAAAGAGAGGATGAGGATGTCTCATCTTCACAGCTGTTAACTACTCCATTCTCAACCAGAAAAGTTCATCCAGGTGCTGTGGCGGGCCCAAGACCCATTCTCCCTGGAGGGAACCGACAACCGATAAAAGATTAAACTAGATCATAACCCTGCAGAAGTAGAGCAGTACCGAACAGGGGGCCCAGGTGTAACTGGGGACGCAGTTTGGAACGGGGAGACAGAGAGTTGGGAAAGTGATGGAGACGATGAATTCATCCTTGCAAATGCAGACCGATGATTGGCTGATGAGAGGAGTTCGGATCAAGCTAGCGCCATGGCTGCATCGGGAATGGCGCGGTGCCTGGGGTGCGCATGACGTCAGGCATAAGGCCGCCACCGAGTCATATCTGCTCGTTGGCTCCATCTTCATATTCATCTACTACCACACAACAATATCCATTTACGAGGTATGATGGAGTCCTTCAGACACTCATTTCTCCATCCGTGCAGTCTGGTCCTCTTTCTCTGACCTGGAAGCTTGGTGTATCCTCCGACCTCGCCAACCTTCCTTGAAAACCATCCCCTTCTCATTCCAACAAAGCGTAGGCGAATCAATATCTGAATCGCATCCATCCCCAGCAAAACGTCGCATAACCTAGTCATATCATAGAGTTAATAATCCGGTATCGGGCCACTGCACCGCGGCAGGCAATGCATGCTGCAGAATCCGGGACGCCTTCCGGATTGGATCCGATCTGTTCGGTGCCCCATGCAGCTCATGCGCTAACGATCGTTGCTAGGACACGCAGTCAGGGACACACACACACACACACACACACACCAGCCTCCCCTTTCTGCTGTTGTTCGGCTGGTTGTTGATATCCCACAATGACCCACTTGTAAAATCTTCATCAGCAGAAGGTTCGGTTGGTGGCCCCTAGGTGGATCAAGACGCAACCAAACTGCTCGCGTAAGAAGTTGGCAGCCCTGAAGGGCACTTCTCAGACTAGCGCATTTGATCTCCTCGGGACGCTGCACTGTGGGCAACTAGTAGCCCGGCTCAAAGGGGCCACGGACAGAATGTACTACTGTGTCTGTGTCCAATCCAAGCAACGATCCCCGGCAAGGAAGTTAGCTGCTGCAGCACTCCGACGCGAAATGCGAAAGCGGAAAGTAAAACACGCTGTATGTGAACTGCATAACCAACGACCATCAGCGATAATCATAATCAAATAAAACTTGGAACGCTTTCTGGGCCTAGATCACAGGAGCGAGCGGTGGATTATCACTCAATGTGACATCCGTTCCCGTGGGCCCATCGCGGAACAATGTTCCTGGAAACAAATGATGAATTCCTTCTCGGTTCTCACGGCGCGGTTGTTATCTCCTTGTCTCGGATTTGGATAAATGAATACGCCCATGATATTGGATGCCACGTCTCCCCACCCCCACGTCAACGAAAGAAAAAGCGCAGGCGTAACTGGCCTCATGGATGCGGAAATATCAGACGGTGAGATTGGAATCGCCGCGACTGGCGAGGAACAATCGTCTCTGACCGCTCCCATGATATCACATTGTGTTCGGACTTCCCTTGACATGCTTTTCGCGCTCCTGAGCAAGCGGGAAATATCCCATGGACTAGACCCGAACAGACAGAATATTGAGAGCCTGAACCTGAACACCGTGCTTAACGGTTGTCTAGGCAAATGCGCCTCCTCGGTTATGGGACGCTTCTTCACGTCATACCGCCAGGGATCGTGGAACCCATGATGTTGTCTGCACCACTGGAAGCGTCCAGTCCTGCTTCCGAGTCAGATTATGACGATACGGCCACCAGAATACCTCGCATTGATCAAGTCCTCGCCTCTAGTGACGCCACGTAGTTTCATCTCGCAGGTCAGACAGCGCTCGACTGACTGACTATGTTGTCCTCCTAAGCACCGTCTCCATGACATGGCATTTCTGAGACAGTTGGCCGATCATGCTAGGGGGAGAAGGCTAGGCCTGCTTCTCCGCTCTGACGATGTCATATGTTCGCGGCCCGTTAAGCCGAATCAGCTCGAATACGTACCTCCATCACACCCTATCGACATTCCCCGGAACGCCCATATCCCGGAAGAGAAAGAGACAATCCACGTTGCCGTAGTGAGACATTCAACGTCATGCTTAACCCAGTTATCAGTCCACAATCCTTAACCCCAAAAAGAAATTCACGTTGATACCAAGATGTTTGCTCCGATTGACCAGCTCCATTATCAGGAGTAAAAAAAAATGCTCTAGATCCCTACAACAGCGGGTAGATACAAACAGACGCCACAATCAAAGGACAGAAGAAATATTTTTCATCATGCTCGCACATCATCACACGTAACCTGTAGCCATTAATCAGCTCCAACGGCCCCATTACCAAACGAGGAATAACACATAGTCCACGAAAAACACTCGGAAACTCAATTGTAAGGGGAAATCGACACTTACCTTTCCTAGCACCCTGGAAGAAGAACCTCACAACGAACACCTGCAGTGCGGCCATCGAAACCATCATCAAGCCCTCAATCACGCTAAAGTTGAATATACGACGCTCCGTACTACGAACGGTGCTGAAGTTGCGGTTCTCTCTTGTGCGGAAGTACTTCTGGTTGCGGGTGATGGTGGAGAGCTGAGCGGACAGCTTGAAGATCGACTCCTCGAGAGCGGAGGCCTGCTCGGGGCTAGCACCCTGGCGGGAGGGCAGTTGTGCGCGTTCCTCGTTCTCGACCTGTAGACACGCACACACGTGCGTAATCAGTCTCAATCCCTTTTACACTACTTTGTAATATACCCCCAGAGGGTCACGGGTCGCCGATGTGATAATAGGTAACCAAAACAAACAAAACATACCGCGATCTCGAAATCGACAATCTTCTCAGCAAAGGTCGACATGTCATTGTTGAAGCAGAACCGGTACTCGCCAATGCTCTGGGCCGTGAACACAAAGTCACCCTGTCTTTCCTTGGTACCATCCAGGACCACCTTCTCGCCGGGACCGACAACGGAGTAATCGATATCGAAGGAACCGCCGGATTGGACCTATTTGAAACCCCCGGTTAATGGACAATCCCACATTGAGGCATACAGAAGGGATATGAGTACTCACAGCAAAGTAGAAAGCAAGCTTCACGTTCCTCTGGTCAACATAGTTATAGAAACACGCTTTCTCGTTGGCCTCGAGGCGGTAGGTCAGGGCCGTGGCTGCCACAGACGAAACAAAGGTGGCCAGGAGGCCGATAACCAGGGCTGCGAAGCGCATTGCGAGCAGTGGTGCGGAACAAGAGGAGCTGTGACCTCCAGTTTAGGACTACGCTTCAGGGGGGAAAGGTGAATGGATTCAAAGACAACGCAACTAGACTAATTGATGGAAGTTCTGGCCAGCTGTGACTTTGGCCCGCTCCGTTTGTTGTGTTTGCACTAACAGGCTGTCTTCCCGTTCATCCTCGACCCAATTAGGATGGACCCGCCTCCTGTTGTATTTATCAGCCAATGGCTTATTCTACTGTCAAATTTACTCCTTTGGCATTGGAAAGAAGTAAATGCAAAACACGTCAAGAGACGGCGTCTGTCAGACTGGCTACATAGCTCTCACCGCGGCCCCTGTTTTGACTGACCATTTTGCACTTATACGGTTCATTCATAAAGCTCGCATCCTTCCAAGCTAGCTCAGCTCATACATCAATTCCAGCTGCTAAAAGCATATCATAACGGAACCATTAGGCCTGCCCTTCTAAGCTACCAGATAGACCAATACCACAACACATTGAAATAATCGCATCTGTTCATCATGTATAAAGTAGGTTGTTTTTTGAAGTTCCTTCTTCATAAGTTGATTCACCTGGGCAACACATGTCCTCCGTATGTTCATAATGGTATGCGTTCCCTGCCAATCGTAAGATAGACTCCCAGCAAAAAAAGACGTGCATAGCCATAACCACCAAGCAAAACTCCCATCTATCGGATGAAGAACGATTCGCTCCGGTTCCAAAAATTGCGGTTCTTATTTACATGCTCGAGACCAAGCAGGTCGTCCGAATCACCGATGATGTCGGAGAGGATATCATCTGAACAGCGTCAGCCAAACAATGTGTTCGTCTCAGAAAAGCAGGGTCGGGTCACTCACCATCTTCCACATAGCGCGGGTTGGAATACATGTTGCGAGATACCACAGCAAACTTGATCTTTTCGAATTGCTTGCCCTTGATGCCAGTCCGCTTAGACAGTCGCTCCTTCGTCTGCTTGAAGATCTCGCCCTAGTAAACGTTAGAATGCTGTTACCCGAAGTCAGGCGGAATCACAACGTACCGGCTTCATAACAAACTTGAAAGGCACGCCATGCGGCCGGTTGACCTCGCGGTCAAAGTTAAAGGCATTTATCGTCCGTTCGCCGTCCTGCATGTTGGCCTCCTCTTCGGGCACCCTCTCGGCGTACAGCGACACGAATTCGTTTATTCCAGCGATCTTCAAGTCAGCTTGGAATTCCCGGTAGATCTTGCCGCCATGGGTCTCGTAGACGCGGGTCTCGCGGATCGTCTCGTCGTCCAGGTTTGCCTTCTTCTGCAGGCCGGCAACAAGGTCTGCGATGGTACCGTCGCGAGGAACCAACACCTCCACCAGTTGCTAAACACTATTTAGCTCCAATCCTTTGCAAAAGCCTGGTTATCAATCGGGACTTACCTCCTTGGTGATGCCTTCAGGAAGCCATGTAACCTTCAAGCAGGTCTTAGACTCAAAGTCACTCAAGCTAGTTTCCAGAACCTCGTAGTACAAGGCATCCTGGCGATGCATGCTGTACCCGTAAGTTGTTGCTTGTCCACCGAGAATATGATACAAGGTCTGGTTGGGTTGGTTGGAGTTCCGCTTAATGAACGCCTTCGGCTTGCCGGTACTTGCAAGGACCGGCGCGAAGCGCAGATGAGTCGATTCCACGTTCAGGTGCTCGCCGACCTTCTTCGAGAACTGATCGTAAGTCATCTTACGACTCAACGTGAGTGTGAACTCATCGCCTTCATCCGCCTTGATCGGAGCAAAAGTAATGTTGATCCTGTTCAGCAGGTAATCATAATATTGCCTTGCGTCCGTATACAAGGCGGTTGCCGGTAGGTCTGACTCCTTGATCGTTCTCTGGAAGGTGATGATGTCTCCATCCTGAATCTCGGACTGCTGGAAGGTCTGCTTCGGCTTCATCACGTCGATCATGTTATGTTTGATCTCTTCGAACAGCATGAACTCGGTCCCAGCAGGCCAGCCCATCTTCTCGAGGATGATAGGGGCGAGGTCCGCAACCTTCTGTGTCTTGCGCACGTAGACTGCACCGACACCGGCGATTGTTTGCGAGGGCGCGTCGAAATGTTTCAAAAAGACGAGCACCGAGTTGTTATCCGGCCAGGAGATCGATCCGTCTGCGGAAGGCTGGCCCACCTCCATCCAGACCTTGAACGGGTTTCCTTTCGTGCCATAGCGATTGTAAGCTTCCTCCACAGTCATGTCCTGATCCTTGATGACTTGGTCCGGCCGAGTCGTCTTGTTCTGTCGATTCACCATGACCCAGAAACGGACCTGTTCAGGATCGAGTCCCTTCTCCTCTGCGAGCTGCTGTGCAAACTCTCCGACCTTCTTAGCCCGGAGGATTCTGTATTGCTTCGGCACCGCAGGATCGGTAGCTGGCAGGTCTGCACTCGTGAGATCAAATCCGTGATGGGCCTGGAAAGACTCGTCGCTCAATACGCCAACATTGATATACAGATGGGCTTCTTCTCTCTCCTTCTTTCTGCGCGCCAACTCGATACGTTCTTCCACGAGTCGGTTTTCTGCGGCATAGTTAGTATAGATCTTTAGAGCTGATGAGGATGCCCAACATACCGATGTGGGAGGGAACTTGTTCCTTTGTTATAGGCAAGAGAACATCATCCAATCTCGACTTCCGAATGTATACCAGCATGTAAGCGTTCATTGAGCGCTTGGTCGATAGCCCGCGGGTGTAAGGCTGTCTGACACCAGCCGCGCCGTTGGCCAGCTCATATTCACCACCGTAGTTCTCCTCGAGCACCTCCTTGTCCGTCGCCCGGGTCACCCGATCGTCGTCGAACCGGTACCAGTGTCCATCCTTGGTAGGCTTCAAGAAGGCGTAGTAATGACCGGCATTAAGGTCACCGCTGTGCACCAGCACACCGTGCAACTCGTAGATCCAGGGCTCAGACTTATCGGCATCGTTGGACAGGTACGGGGTGGCGTCGAACTCCATGGGGAAGGCGTGGCGGTCGTTGATCTTCATCATGGCGTCACGATGGATGTCATACTCGAATCGCTTGAGATGAAGGTGCAGAACAGGTGGGAAGCTCTCAAAGATCACACCCTTCTTCGCGTCCTGAAGACCGTAGGGCTGTCCGGCATCGTACTTGTTCTCGCCTTCAAGAGTCTCCACCTGGATGTAGTCCTTGAAACTGTCGTCGAGGGTCTTGTTGCCTCGAACGTTGAGTTGGATATCCCAGAAGTCCTCCACTCGCGACGATTCGTAGTCGACATTGATGCAGGAGATATAGGTTTTCGTTTTTCCGACGAACATCTCCGGGAGAGCCTTTTCTGCCGGCGTGCCCTTCATCTTCTCCTCCATCCTCTCCATAAGCTTTCGAGAAAGCTCCTGGACATCCTGTTGCTCAAAGATTTGTCGCGATTCCCAGCCGAAGGATGCTGTGAGTTCTGTCGTCGAGACAGAGTTCTCACTCGTTTGGAGGTTATAGAACAGTCTCTGAAGAGTCCAAGCACTGTTGTCTCTTGAAGCCTCGGCCTCTGTCGGGATCTCGTAGACGGCCTTGAAGCGTGTTAGCGCATTCACGTCGAAGCAGATAGATACTGCCACGTACCTTGCGGAACTTGTTGGTGAAGTATAAAGACTGCAGAAGCGAATTCAGATAGCAGGTTGCGCCTTGGTTCTTCAACCCCACCATGCCTGTTTCCTTCTTCGAATCGTAGCTGGAAGCAATCAGCAAGAGGTCTGAGTAGAAATCTGAGCAGATACATACTTCTGGAAGCTGTGCCACAGTACTCCTGTGGGATCCTTGACAACACGCACGTATGCTGTGATCTTGGCCTCTTCGTTCTGCACCAGAGGAACGCCGCGGCCCTCCCATGGCACGCTAAAGAGTCTGCGCAGCTCACAGAATCGGGTAAATCCCCAGTCACCCTCGTCCGCATTGAATCGATGTGTGGCGACTACATTCCGATCAGCGAAAATAGCCACGACTTCCAACTGGGCATACGCACCGTGAGAGATGTAGATGGATGGGTCGTTTACGTTGGACAAAACCAGAGCGAACTGAACGCAAGCGTACCAGTTCGCTGGAGGTTCGTTTTCCCAGGCATGCTCCAGGTAAAAGGATGCGTGTTCGACATGATTACCGTAAGGAAAGAAGAGGACTCGCCTATGAATAGATGTCAGAGCCAGCTCGTCGGATCGAAGCGACAGGACGGTGCACCCACCAAGGAGAGCCGGCGCACTGGAAGACCGGTCCGTGTTCCTTCTTCTTGAGTTTCCGCCAATCCTGGATATGCCATGTGTGATACGTCTCATCTTCTGTTTCCAAATCGGGGTCTTTCGGGAGGATCCGGGCCATCATTGCTGCATCTGTAGTGAAAATCGGGGGATTAGACATGTCCTCAAGCTTGACGGAGAAAGCGCTCGCCACCGCGACCTGTAACGGCTCACCCCCACCGCGGGGATTCCGTGACACCAACACACAACCATCACCACGGCACAAAAGACGCCAAAGGGAGCAAAGGAAGAACGGGGGAGAAGGATCTTACGATCGTCGGCAAGAGGCTCTGGCTCCGGTTCCTCCGATCCGGACCGAGAGACGACGACCTCGTCGGTTCTGTCATTGTGATACTGCTCATATTCGTCGACGAGCATCTCACTGTCTGGGACCTATGAGGATCCGGGAACACGATGTCAGCGATCGGTGGCTTGCGGGGTACAGGCATATCTGAAGAGGTGAATGCGAAATGATTTTCAGAGAACCACAATATGAGGGAGAACTTACGTTGTCCATGTAGAAGGAAAAAAGTGCGTACCCGCACTGGAGTTGAACGACAGACTCTTCTCACGGACGGGACGCTGCAGGTTGGATGGGGAGGAATATTAGATCGGAGCGGGTTAATCCTTCGGAGAGGTGGATAGGATAGGGCGAGAATGGAAGGGAGGAGGTGGAGAGGTCAGAACCTCGTAAGACGAGAATGAGAATTGAAAGAGAAGAGGAGGATCTGGGCTGCCGTTGATTCCAGTCCGCAGGAGTTTGGGATGAAGCTAGTGGCGGAGTTGCCATAACCCAATAATAACGGCCATGCGGGACACAGCAGCCCTTATTATTAAGAGGTTTCTGGTACTTCCCCTAACAAACCAGCACCACCAACACCACCTTTCCTTTTCCTCTTTTTCTTTTTACTACGTACTGCCTGTTACTGCTCTATTTGCTGCCTATGAAAGTAGTCCAATCAGTGGATTGGGGTTAATTCATATGGCTCATTGACTTGGGGAAGGTGGATTTCTTAACAGTGACCATACTACTAGTCACTTCCATTTACGCTCGTATGATGGTTGACTCCATTGCTATGTTATGGGCATTTAACTTGATGCTTCCTGTCATGAGTTGTGAACACAGGACCTGTACAAAAAGAAAATATTAACAAAAGGCAGTTACCGGTTTTGCCATCTGCAGCTTTACTCTAGGCGGCTACTAGGTCAACTTCTCCTGGCAGTTGCCTGACGTTATCTTATTTACTATGCAGGACCAAGTAAGGCAAGGCTGATAGGGACTGTACAGTAGTAGTAGTAGTAGCTAGCCACCTACCCAAACGTGATATCACCCGTGCATTTTTTTGACGCTCCACCGTCCAAACTAGACCAAATCCGAGCAATATTAAGATGCTGCAGTTCCGACTGACCGAAAAAAGGATGATGTGAAAAAAAAGAATTTATCCGGCATCTTATAAATAAATAGTGAGAGGGAAATTATGTATCGTATAGCTATTGGTAGTTCACTTAAGTATGCTTACTCTTTCTTACCTCGTGCTCTTCCTACCAATTATCCCTCTATTCCATTAGGCTTGGACCTCCTCCCCAACGCCATCCGCTCTTAGTCCACGATCGGGTGGAATGGAAGATCACCGTTTTAATTAGGCAACACCCAGCACCAGCACCAGCACCAGCATCCCTGTACTGTATCCCTAACTTCTACCCAGTACCGATCCGACCTCGGATTGAGGAGATTTCAGCTATACGGGATTGACATGAATACTCTGAAGGGGGAATCTTATAGTGTTGATGATTGCTTTCTTTCTTTCATTTCTCCGTTACATGTGAGCATCGGCACGTCACATGCCTAAAGCTCTCACCGCCCGGACGCCTGGAAAACCGGCCGCATTTGCCATCAGGAACCATGTCATGCCACTGTGAATTCAGCGGTCGTGGACCAAATTGATCCTCTGTAGAGCCATGTATGGACCATTCTATCGGAACTTGATCTCGTGTGGCTCTTTTGACGCGCGCCCGTTTTGCATTGGCGTAATACGGTCCCCTCCATGCCACACCCGCGCTTAAGCCGTTGACTCAGTCCAAACCACAGCAATATGGCGTGGAGTCATTCAGCTCGTCGCTGGCGGGCTCTTCATCAATGCTGCACTCCAAAACTACGATTTAATTCCACTCAGCAAGCTCACAGTCCGCCGCCGTGGAGACCGGTATCGGCTTTGGACGAGTAGGCTATCCTTGACACATTTTGCCGGGCGTCAATGCTAATGGTTTGCAGATGGGTTGAGCGTGACATCCGTCCTATCAGTTTGCGACAGCTTACCTTCTTTGGACGAACCCTGACGGAATCCCGGCTCATCAGCTCGGCCAACTACGTACGAACTGAGCTTCCAACTAGGTTAGTGCGGTCATTCCATCGCAGCTGACGATCTAACTAACTCCAATACTTCACTAGACTCGCACATCGCCTACGAGATATACAACGACTCCCGTATGTTGTGGTGGCCAATCCCCACCTGTCCATGGTGTACGAGCTCTACTACAAGGCATTCGAGCGGTTTCGGACCATCCCAGAGATAAAGACCTTGGATGACAATGATAAATTCTGCGACATCCTACGTAAAACGCTTCGAGAACACCTGGTTGTGATACCCAAACTCGCAACGGGTGTCCTGGAGTGCCGCGAGCTCGTCCCGTCAGATGTGCTGGACAGCTTTATGAACACACTTCTCCGAGCGGTAAGACTTTGTCTGGGTGGATGGTATGTTTCTCAACTAATACATCTGGTTCAATAGAGAATTTCACGCCGCGTTATCGCCGAGCAACATCTTGCTTTAACGGAAACATTCAACTCTCCATGGCACTTCCCTGGCTCCGAAGATCGCACAGATCTAAATGCCGACTTCGTCGGGGAGGTATTTCTCAGATGCAACGCGAAAGAGGTTGCTGAACGGTGCGGGAAGCTGGCGCAGGATATGTTGCGGCAGAACGGTGGATCGGATAAGATACCAGAAATCTCGGTGCAGGGTCACCTTGAGGCCACCTTCCCTTACATGCTGAGTCACTTGGAGTATATCATCGGTGAGCTACTCCGCAATTCGATCCAAGCTGTGAGTGAACGATACCGGGACTCTACGGAGAAACCGCCGCCAATCGAGGTTCTCATATGCGAGGCCCCGCAGCATGTGATTTTGCGGGTATCGGATCAGGGTGGCGGCATACCGCGTAAGGTTCTGCCATACTTGTGGTCTTTCAACAAGGGCCCTTACAGCACATCACACCTCCAGAACTTGGGACAGGTTCCCGCCATGGCTGCCACCATGCAGGAGCTGTGCGTGCCGACAGAAAGAAAGGATGCGGATCGGGACACGTTTCGCGAGAGCTCGCTGGATTCGCTAACCTCGCGGCCCCCTAATCTACGTCTGGGGATCGGTCTGCCCATGAGCCGAGTGTATGCCGAGTACTGGGCGGGCAGCTTGGAGCTCCACAGCCTCGAAGGTTACGGAGTGGATGCGTTCCTGCAGATCTCGAAACTCGGCAACAAGAACGAACAGGTGACGACACGTGCGTCGATTGATGCAGTATAGAGGCTCGAAGTACGAAGAGGCTAAATCGTATATACCTGCAAATATACACGTTAAACGAACACCAACCGCAACAATGCACCTGCCTCCCATAACTACTACTATCTACTAGTTGAACTCCCCACTTACCCCAGGTTTTCCGTAGCTCGGCCTTAAGCCCAAACAGGCAAGCGCGGCCCATTTGCGGCAGCTTGCGGGATGACGTCAGCCGGAATGGGATCCGGGCAATTCCAGGCCAAACTAAAAACATTTCTGCCTTGTTCAGTGGGTGGCCTGGCAAGGGATTGATCGCTCAACTCGGCTGCTGTGTTGTTCTCTCATACTCGACTTGACTTGTGACTTGCTACCCGTGGCGCTGGCTCACAAGGCTGATCAACACTTGGGAACCCATTTTGATCCTCCAGTACCACCTTCCCGTCCCGGTGACGTCGATCTAGAAACAACCTGTGAAACCTTGTGACTGATCCGATTCTGTCACCTTCTTGATTATATACAATGAAGCGTCTCAATTCCAACAAAGACGACAACGTCCCCATCTACATCTACATCCTGCTGGTGGTGATTCTATCCCTCAGCTTCCTGGGTACCTATCTGGACTCGAGCAAACGTGTCAAGTCTGCCGCACGGTCCTAATCAACACTACTACTATATTACCGTTATCACATAGCCTTGAAGTCAACAAAAATGGCTGGCACATGCTCCATACTCTGCTTGATTCTTATTACCTTGTTCAGTATGTAGATCCTCTACTTACATTCTCACACCTTTTTTCTTTGCATCTGAATCTGAAGCTAATCTTTCTACTCATCTAGTACCTCCTCTCGGTGTGTTTATGATCTCGGGTTGCAGTGTTGATCTGCTTATCAATATACTCTTGACGATTCTCGGGTTAGTCCCTCATCCTTCGTTTCCACTATACTTCTTCGCCTTCGCAGTGTTACATTAAAAGTAGATGGTCTCTGACCGAGTTCACATTGTGCAGGTACTTACCCGGTCATATTCACGCATTCTACCTGGAATACGTATACTACGCCAATCGCAACGCAGGGACAGGCGAAGCACCACGTCGCGCGCCGGGAGTCTATTCCGAGCGGATTCAGCGCGGGAGAAATCATCACACGACGTATGGCACGATCCCTTGATGAATGCTGAATGAAAATGGCTGTTTCTTTTCCCTTTACATGCAACTGTTCCGGGTATTACATTGTTATGTTATGAGACCCTAAAATGAACGACTAAGGTCGATAGCATCATTAACTGGAGTTGAGGTTCTTTTATTTCTACAATGCAAGTAGATGACATGCTCAACCTCAAACCTAAACCCAGCCCATCCCTCCAAAAATAAATAAATAAAACACCCAAGATAAACAAGAACAATTCCCAATGCAATTATACCATCTCTCCTACATAAACAATCACCCACTATACTCCCCCACCTACACCGCCCCAGCAGAAGCAGAAGCAGTCCCAACATTCCTCCCCTTCAACGCCGGCAACCCAAAAGCCCTACTCGTCCCGACATCCCCCCCGGTCCTCATCGCACCCCCGGTCTGTGGAGCCCACCACAACGCCCCAACCCACGGCTGCACATTCCACCCAACAGAAAGCGTCACATTCTCCCGTTCGGCCATCTTCCCCGAAACATCCCCAATGGAGTACTTCGCCCGTTGATCGCGGAGTCTCAGCTTCCCGGGCTCAGACGATGATGCCTTCTTACTGGCAGTTTTACTGGCAGATGAAGTCTTCTTCGTACTGCGCTTCTTGTTGCTCGCAGACGATGATGCAGAGGGGAAGAATCTCTCGCGCAGGGCATTAAACGAGTACGGCGACTCCGGGGCCGGGATGATGGTGTCCCAGATGACGGAGTGGGAGGGCGCGGAGGTGCTTGGGTTGGAGGGGTCGGAGGGGTAGGTCGCGTATACGTAGACGAAGAGTTGTTTGGTGTTCCAGTTGAAGAGGGGGGTTAGGTCTTTTGCATGGTTGTCAGTTATGTAGGGGAATGGGAGATGGGCATGGGGGGGATGTATGTACCAGCATCTAGATCGAATTTCATAGCGGCGTATTCTTCCTTTCGTGTGCTGTAGTAGTGGGGACGGCCTTTTGTTCTGTTTGTTTGAATTGGTTGGGTTGGGTTAGTTGGAAAGAGTAGGATGGATGGGAAACGTACACTTTCACATCGCGCAACTTCACAATAGACGTCACATCGTCAGTAGGATAGAAGAATACGCTGAGAGCAGCGAGACCGGCGACGAAGAGAGCGACGGTCGTGAAGAAGCCGAAGACGCCTTGGGCGCGGTTGAGGGTTGAGTGCATTCTTCCCTGTGTGCTATATGTAGGATCTCGGGATAGAAGGGGGAGTATAGAATGGAAGAGTGGGAGAATAACTCCCTGTGAAGTTGCGGAGTCGCGAGGATGCTTGCTTGTATTTGGAAAGGGAATCAAGAGAAACAAAGATGGGCGGAGCTTGAAGCCACATGGGCCTTTTTCGGGATTGGTTGAGCTGAATGGCTGGCTGGCTTATCGATAAGCATCAGTCACTTATCGTTGTATCTCCGATACTGTCTGTCGCACTTTGCTACAACTTCATTTCCTCGTTGGATTGGATTGCTGCGCGCAGCGTTATTATAGACAGTCGCAATATACTCTCGTTATATATATTCATCATTCTTAAATATCACTACAATATCCTCTCAATTTATTACCTACTTACACCCACCACACCACTTCCTCAACATCAACCACCAATTAACCCCGCATACTCCCTCCCCTCCTTCAAATTCCACACCACAATAGACCATACATATATACATTGCTACAAGATAAAAGCACATAAAATGGGCGACCACGTCCTCTTCTTTTACGGTACCCACCCCCTCACTCCACTACCCTACACCCACTAAGATCTCCTTCAAAGGAACCCTAATGGCCCCTCCCATCCTGCACCGCGTTATCCACGGCCACTCCACTCCAGAACCATGGCAAAGGGCTCTCCTGACAATCAAGCCGGCAATACTGCATGGCTATCGACGCCATCGCGTCCGGTATGCGGATTATCCGGGTATTATACCTACCACACCTTCATCTTCATCTGGTGATATTGCTACCGGTGGTGAGGCATTTGTGCTAGGCACAGTAGTGTGGGGATTGACAGAAGGGGACGTGTATCGGTTGGATCGGTTCGAGGGGAGTGAGTATGAGAAGAGGGCGGTTAGGGTGAGGGTTCTAAATCATCAGCAGCAGGGTGAGGGTGAGGGTGGTACCAGGGAGATACAAGAGGTGTTAGATGCAGCGGAGACAAAGGACAGCAGCCAGACCAAGAAAGGGGAGGAAGTAGAGGCCGTTACGTATGTGTGGACTGCCGGAAAGGAGCGGTTAGAGGATGCGGAGTGGGATTTCGAGGCGTTCAAGAGAGATAAAATGGCGTGGTGGGTGCAGGCGGATGAGAAGGATTGGTAGGTTGTAGACATAGATTTAGATCAGATCAGATCAGATCAAATCATCCGATTCTATCACATATCGATATATACAATACATTTCACCCCTCGTCTTGAATTCCACAGAATCACTCGTATGCAAATGCTTGGTATCTAATGCAACTGTCAACTCAACCCTCCCCTCCCCAGTGTTCCGGAAACGCCTGCGTGCGGATGGCACGGATTAGGAAAATAACAAAGCAAATAATGCATAAGATAGGTATTAGAGATAGAGCTTTTCGTTACTATTACGTGCATAGCTGACTACCTCGTGGGTGTCCCTCGTACTTGGGTCTCGACTGCCACAACACTCACACCGTCGTCAGGACCATCGCCCTCCGGAGCATCTTCTTTGTTGTGGACAACGGTGCGCGGCTGTGTCTCCGACTCCGGACTCTGTCGTCGTGGCTTTGATGGTTTAAATTTGGTCTTAGGTGGCGCTGCCTCCGGCTGACTGTCTGGGACTAGGACAACATCTTTCTCGGGAGATGCTTCGGGGTGCCGTGACTCTTTGGTGTCCACTACCGGTGATCTTTGGGTCTCCTTAGGCTTGTCCTGGCCCGCGCTAGTTTCCGCTTCGGCTTGCGACTGTCGTTCAGAATTCACAGCCTGAGCAAGGTCCTCCGAGACATTCGACGGCCCTTTTTTCCGGGGTGAACGTTTGCTTTCGCTCTCCGCACCCTCCAGCACGGGACTGCCGAGTAGGTAACAGACTGGCTTCTTATTCACCATAGTGTCTTTGTCACTGATCTCATGGCGTTTGAGCTGCTCCTGCTCGTCATAAAGCATGTCAAGGAATTTGCGGAGTCGCCGTCGGAGGAGACCGGACTTCAGCGGAGGCCAGTCGTCTTTCGAATCCATCTCCTTCTGAAGAAGCTTCCTGACAAACACATCCGGATCTTGGACGAATTTCTCCAGGTACGCCAGAAGATACAGACCGCAGTCGGAATAGTTGGGCTGCAGGGGAATATCCCGGGCCCTCATACCCTTGATCAGGCCTTTGTCGATTTCGACGCCCTTCTTAGATTTGGCTTCTTCGTATAAATATTCACGAAGGGAGCTTATTGTTGGCGAACGGGGCACATTCAGCGAGTCAAAAGTAATAATGATCGGCTGGCAGACGTCGTATCTAGGGCCCGCTCGCTTTGCCTTTTGTTTGCGAGGCTTAGCTGATGGTTCGGGCAAGTGAGCAGCTTCCTTCTTATCAAGCTGTTCGGGCGTCGTTGCGTTCTCTGTAAGACTGGGGAGAGTTTTGGAAGGCCCTTCTGGGCTAGCTTCAAGCTCAGGCCACTCTTGATCTGCAGCAGGACTCTCTGCAGGCTGGTCCTTTCCAGGCCCATCAGCTATCCTCATAGTTTCTAGAGATCGCCTAGCTAACTCCGCTCTCGTAGGGCCTGAGCCGTTGGCCTGTTTTTCTTCCTTGTCCTTATTGGTGGCTATTTCCGGCTCTGGCGTTTCAGAGATCTCCTGCACCTGACTGTCTGGTGGCCCCGAAGGCACTTTTTCGCCTTGTGTTGGTTCATTTGGATCTAGCCCTTCCTGGACAATTCCCTGCAGGCGTGGTAAGTTGCAGATTATAGCAACATACCAGTGCGCACTTTCATTGATTGGGACAACGACATAATCATGACTGAATATGTCGACGGTCCTCGTCCACTTCTGCACGCCTTCATAATTTATGCCCCGCTTGCCTCGGGGGACATTCATAAGTGTATCGTGAAAGAAGGAGTTGAAAAAATAGACTCTCTTCGCCGCGTCACTATTGGTGCGCTCCAGATGATCTTGCAGGAATCGAATGTAGAACCCGATAAGGTTGTCATTCAAGAACTCATTCTCGCGCAGTCGGTCAAGGTCGTAAACATCCACCTCGGCCTTCTTCTTCCCAACCAGCGGATAGACAAGGGGTCTACTACATAGTCAGCATCAACGAGTACCATGGGTTGCAGAGTTACATACTTGTGCCACTTTTCAGTGTTTACAGCTGGCAAAGGTGGCTGCGTATTTTCATCATCGCTATCGTCACTGTCATGTTTGTCAGTCGTTTCTACCACAGAATATTGACCAGCCAATACATACCACACTACAGTAGTCGCGGAAGGAAGACGCGACATGGCTCTTGTGGTGATGCTGGACGCAGACTTCTTCACGGGAATTTCCACACCGGGGTCCGTGGCGCTCTTCGACACACGGCTTGGGCTTGATTCAGGCTGCGATGGGTTCGAGTTGTTGGGCTTGGGTGCAGTAAGGGAGGGGTTTGCACGTTCCCGAGAGGCGGCGTCCGGCGGCGACGGCTGTCTCCCAGCGGCAACCCCGTTTTCATCTCGCAGATTGTCCGTAAGCTTCACCCGTTTCGTGGAGTCACGCTGCTTGTCCGGGACTTGCTCAAGACCGCTTTCCGATGATGGCCGTTTAATTCCATTTGTAGATTGTTTAGTTTCTCTTTGGGCCTTGTTGAACGCTTTGTCCATCCATTCGCTACTCTCATATCAGCCTCAGTTCAGTAGCAAAAGGTAGTATTCAGGAACAGCAACGAGAGCCAAAGGAAAGCGACACGAATGGAGAACAGTGAACAGACATACCTTGACTTGTCACGAACGTCGACCTCACCCAATAAACAGCAGAATTCCTCCTTCACAGTGAAAGACATGAACTCGATATCGATCCGATTATCGAGTTCCGACGTCTTCGATAGCACTAATCTAATCTTATTATTTGGTGATTCTGCTTTCAGGATCTGTCGTACTCTAGAAAGAGGCGCTTCAAAAACGTTCTCCGAATCTGTCTCTTGACACAGTGCGATTGTGCGTTTTGTCATGTCGACGTGAACCTCGACGGACTTGCCATCCGATGCCTGCTGTTCGATAGGACCAGTTCGGACGAGCTTCGCTTTGAAGGATCGCTGGTTCGACATTTCGGAAGCTTTGGTCTTCTTGTTCTTCCGTTTCCCTTTCTTGCTTGGCCCGGAGGCTTCGAAAAGAGTTGGTTTGATGTCTTGAGACTGGTGCTCACGGCCTGTCATGCGTTGACTTCCAAGCTCAGCTCTCTTGTCTCCAATTTGAGCGGGCGGTGGCCGCACTGTTACCGCCCCTTGAAGCTCATCGGGACTCTCCCGCGATTCAGACACCCGTCTTCTGGGTTTTGCCGCGATTTCCGGATCATGAAGCAGACCCATCATTGTCTTATTTGCAGGTTCCTGTGATTTCGCATTTATGATTTCGACGCTTTGTAGAATCTCATGTTTGGAGGGTCGTTCCTGTTCGGCGCCGGAGTCTACGTCGGCAATGAATGAATTGTTTCTCCGTCTTTCTTTGGTGGCATTTTTCGTGAAACGTTCATCGCGGTCATCATCGGACGGTGCTCCGAAGTTGGGTAAGGGACCACGTTTTGGGCTTGGTTGTACCCGGGAAGGTCTCACGATATTTTCAGTGCTTCGGTACTCGTCCACTTTTGAGCGTCTGTTATTCCGCTGTTTCTTTTGCTTCCCTGAACTCTGGCTCAAAGTAGGAGACATACGTGGTGGGTGACCGGCAATGCGGGGCGCCTCCTGAGCGGGGTGCTCAACATCGTTGTCAGACGGTTTTGTGAAATTTCCACGGCTGGAATCGAGGGTATCCTGGCGGCGCCGTTTATTGGGTCTTTCAGAGCCTGCGTATCCTGTGACATTTCCTGGCTGGCTGTTCCGAAGGCGATTCGATTTTCCTTGTGCACGAACCGGTCCACTGTCTCGACCTTTCGATATCGTATCCACGGGTCTGAAAGGTGACTTGTTCCTGCTGTTAGCACGAGCACACAAGCATTTTCAGTTCTGATCATATCATACCTTGGGCTTATTGCTCTTTGTTTGTCCTGGCACTATAGGGATTCCACTGGGGTCATTCCTAAGAAAGTAAATCTCGCTGATCAGCATATATTCATATGGCCACTGCGCAAAACTGAACGCACCACTTATTGGGAGGAAACAACCTAAGTTCATCGTATGCTTCGGAACGCTGGCGCGACTTGGCATGTGTTGTGTCGCCAGACCTAGTATCAATCGAGTCAGTATCACTCGGTCTGCTTCCGCATTGCGAGGCCATATTTACAGGCGACGCATTCCTGAATCTGATCTAGGAACGGTCTGGCGATATTGTGGACGTACAGGTCGGTGTTCGTAAGGATGTCGAAGTCCTTCGGCATTGCTGAAAGCAGTCTATCACGGCCGGTGTTAGCAGAGCGGAAAATGTAAAATTAAAGGCCGAGACATGAGTTGCGAAAGAATGATCGCATGGTAATCTGGAGAGCGCCGGGCGGAGTACGGATACTTACGGTGACCGGATCAAGACTTTCAGGAGATGTATGAAGAGATCCGTATTCTATAGGCGAACCGGAATTCCATGCGCCGGACGTCTCAGTCCGCTGTATGTGGTCGGAGGTCGCATCTGATGGGGGCGCAGGATCGGGGGAAGTTTGCGGGGAGGAGGGGTGTCGACTGGAGGTGCGGCCGGAGAGGAAGTCTGAGAGTTGTTTGAAGAGTGGCATATAGTCACGAGCGAGGTCATTGCATGACCAGACAGGCCAAGAGGGTTCTCATATTCGGCGAATACCGAGCAGAAGTGGGCATGGCGATAGAGAGAAATGCATCATGGATGGGCCAGAAAAGGCGGTGGGAGGATTCTGCCCACCGACGTGCGGAGCCCTACAAATCTGCTGACTAGTTCTAGTCCGGCCACTAGTGCGGGCACTAGTGGTGTCTCGTGCATTTGCTGTAGATAGTCTACAGTGTGGCTCTGTAATCACCATTCGGGATGCCAAATAAGTATCATTTTGCGATATATATAGTAGTACCACTTCCTTCAGCACTGAGGCAGCATCTGGAGTTGACACACGTTCATGTTTATGATGTAATGATGTCTGTTACCACTCTTAGTAATAGATGAGGGCATTAACACAGTCTGCGTATATATATATCCCGTTTACTACTTAATACACATATTAATACAATCACCATGATTGTGCCTGCGCATACCGAAGTAAATGATACATAGTATTCATAGTAGTACTACGAATGATGCTCCTAATCTTATCCATCATGATTAGACCGACTAAAACACTCGAATATTGTGAAATGGTGTAAAACTACCAGAAAGCAACCTGGTAGAAAGACAGATGAATAATGTATTACAAGAAGCCTAGCCCATAATATCAAGTCATGATCGATCTGTAAATATCAAAATGATAGTTAATCTGCCCTCCTCATACAAGAATACCTGATACCTAGATCTATACCTGTAGTGGTGTCATTATTAGAAGTTAATAGAAAACCCTCAAATACTACGTAGTATTTGAGATGCTCTATCCAATCATAAACAGCACTCAAGGGCTACAAGAAATACAAGCAGGTATCCCCCTCATGACACAGTAACTAAGTACATACTCCAGCTCCAAGCTATACACCTACCACGACTAAGTAACTAATGCACCACAGTACCTTAACGCAACACACACACAGTGCTCCATAATGCAGGTTCAATTTCCTAGTAATGTCCTCCTACGGTCATTGAATATGATATATCATATCCCTGTCGTGGAATAATAGCAGACTACCCTGCAAGATGTCATATGTCTGATTTACATTGGCCGTGACTCCACTTCAGAAATTTCTAACCAGACTATTCGTATCTAGGGCCCGGATAAGATGTAAGTAGAATGGATAGGTGGTGGTGGGATAGTATCCGCAGTTTATACTAAGACATGAAGAGATAGGGGAAATAATAGAAAAAAAGAGAATTAAGGTTGGAAGGATAAAGATGTGGTTGAAGGGTTGGATGGATGGCATTGAAAATACTACCGGGAAGGGTGTCGGTGTGGGTAAAGGAATAACTTCATCGCGGTGTTTAAAGAAGTTATCGCTTAGGTTTCATTTTTAGTGCTTTCCGTATGAGGGAAAAATATAGGTGTAGACAGTAGTAGGACAGAATCGACCTAATTCCACGTGGGTTCCCAAAAAGACCCGAGATTATTGAATCAGAGAAAAATCAAAAGCATGCGGGGAATTAAATTGTAGTAGTTTACATGCACGATCTACTAGTCTGGTCCAAAAAAAAAAGTCACTAGCAAATCGATAACTAGTCATTCCCATCACAATTCATGCGGGTGAGGAAGTAGACAGAAGAAGAAGATACTAAGTATAGCAGTAATAAGAGTAGTTACGCTTCATCCCATCCGAGCACCCCAAACTTGCATATCCACGTGCAGTAGCAGCGCCCATGAATTGAAATAAAATGGACAGAAAATAAAAACCCAAATCGAGATCACTCAGTATTTCGCCCTAAATGCCCCGATCCCAAATCATCCCAATGAGATTTTTGTATGGCCTTTACTATACAGGATCATAACCCACGTAAAGCATGTCAAGATGTCGTGCCTTTTCCTTTATCCCCCTCGTCATTCGCCGTAACTCTTCGTCGATCGCCCAGCTGGTGTTGCTGGTTGTGGTTGTGGTTGTTATGGTGGTGATGGTGATGGTGATGGTGGTGATGGCCGGCGTTTCCGGCGGCCTTCTCCTGGCGAGCCTGGTCGATGGCCGAACGTTGGGCGATACTGTCATCGTGACTCTTCCAGACAATGTTGGTGTCGGCGGGGAAGTTGAGCAGACGTTTGATTGTCTCCCTGCAGAGCATGTTAATAAACCGGGGATGTCGCTTCTAAGGCAATGTGTCCACGTATGACATACCTGATCTTGATGTTCCGCCCGCCATCGATGCGGGTCCACACATTCAGAACATCCTCCCCGCTCCGCACACTGAGAACCGCACCACAAACCTCATCGCTAGCCTCTGCAAATTGGTCACCGATCATAGCCAAGAGGAGGTCCTCCCAGTAGCGATCCGCAACCCCCTTCTTCAGCCTCACCACCCATTTTCCACCCCGCTTATTGGCTTCGTCCTCCCATACCGGACGAATGCCTTTCTTGAAGATATGGTAGTCGGAGACGGTGGGGAGCAGAGAAGGCCTCTTTAGGTGCGAGTAGATCGACCAGAAACTCTCTACTGATGATATGGATGCAAGCGGGGCGGTAGATTTTTCGTAATCGGAGTATTTAGGTGTGGGAGGCCGGTACCAGATAATCCAAGTGGACTTGAGCGGGTGCTCCTTGAGCGTCAAGGCAACACCCTTGGTTTTGCCGGCCTCGGCGGCGGAAGCCTGGTCGACAGGGTTTTCGCGCTTCTCGCCGGGGGTTTTCAGGTCAGAAGGTGCACCGGGGGTTTTGGGGGTTCCAAACGACGCAAAGGCACCGGAGCCCAGGCCGAATGCAGAGGAGGCGTTTGTAGACGGAGAGGACACGCCGCCGGAGAGGGGGGAGAGAGCGTTGAAAGGGTTGGACCGGCCGCCGTGGGAGCTGTCGGGGCCGAAACGCTTGGTGGCGCGGGGAAGTTCAACTCGAGCGCCGTCCGTCCCCGTCATAGACAGAGACAACTTGGAGGTGCTGTAGACAGGAACAAAAGATTAAGAAGGTTAGTTGAGTCGCATCGGCCACGCAAGTATGCGGGCAAAGTCATCGTGCGGAAGTGGGACGTACTTGGATCGGCGAGTCCAGAGGTTTGCGTTATCCATGGAGATAGCTAGTGACGGCCCAGAAAGCGAGCGATCATCAGCCGGGGACACAGGATCCGGCGGTCGGGTTGTTTTGCGAAGGGGAGGAGGAGGAAGAGATTCGAGGTGGTGGACGAAGATATCGAGCAATCAAAGGAGATCGAGTGACACAGGACCCAAGTCTGAAAATTACTAGATAGGATTAGATTGAGGGTACAAGAAGGGACGCGGCGAGCGGAGCAGTCAGGACGGTAGTCGAGGCGAGACGAGGGATAGAAGGTGACGAATGTTAGAGAAGAGGAATCGTGATCGTGATCGTGAACGTGGCGAGGGAAGTTCTGAGAAGGTCGAGGGAGGAGAAGCAGGAAGTAGATACTTTGGTAGATGTGAAGTGGGAAAGGGAAGGGAAGAAGAAATGCGGAATTGCGGTTTCTGGAAGTGAAGAAAGAACTTGGGAAAGTCGAGCACTTCCAGCTGCCCGCCAGCCAATCACCATCCCGCCCCGCCTGCCCGCCCGCTCCGTCGTTTTTCCTTGCGGCGCCCTTTATTAACCGCTGAATTTTTTCGCATCTCTTCCTCTTCTTCTTTTTCTTCTTTAAACCCAAGACCACCAACTCAAATCATCGCTGGCTGCACACTTTTGATTCTGTCGAATTTTCAACTGCACTGGCGATTCCGATGAGTGTGTCGAGAATATTCTTAAATACCCGCTTCTAAAACCATCATCACGAGGGCTCTTCCGGGCTCCATGATGCGGTGATGACCTGTATGACGGGACATGCCTTTGCCAATATCATGTTTTTGGCATTGGCTCCCTGGAAATTGAATCGTAGCAGCTGTGGAATCCTTAGTCCGGCGCATTTGTAGTAATTCGACTGTTGCCGGTGCGTTCTTCCTCTCCTTGTCCTGTCTGGCAGTCTGTTCAAATGAACAACAGCCGACGGCCGCTTCCCGGTCCCCTACGCTGCATGATGAAGCTTTCATTCACATACTCTGGTAATCCGAGGTGCTCAACCGCTTCCACACTACTATTACGGTGGTGTAGGCATTTGCTGGTCGAGTGTGAGGTCCACAGGCATGTCTGATTGCCGCGATTTGCTCCTTGTTTTGCGTATTACTGCTCTGCCTCATCAGTTGCTGACGTGGCTGTTTGTAGTAGATTGTCCCATGGTAGACTAGCAATTGTCCTCAGTACGAGTTCCCTACTGCTACACTCACACTCAACGCTATTTTGGTGATTTCACTTCGGATCGACACCTCAGATCGGATGATCTTCTGCAACAACTGCCCCTGTACACAAGAATAACATGGAAAGAGAATATGGCATTGTATTGTCGTATCAATAGAATCTATACACAGATCAAGTGTGCCCAGGATGGAAAGGCCTCAACCGTCAAAAATGTTGGACCATAAATGTAGGATGCTCGGAAGTCAGATCTCCGAGGAAAATGAAGCAGCGTGCATGTCGCCCGTCGGTCATAGTTCCGCATAATAGATGATAGTGGTAGGGGTAGGTGAGGGGGAAGAAAGGGTTACGGAAGGAGTTTTGTCATAGGAGCTAGCCCCGGTGATGTTATACTTTGCGAGACTTCCGTAAGATGCACAGCTTCGTCAACGCACGCTTAGGATGGCGCACATGCTTTCTGAAAACCCCTATTTCATTGCGCTGGGCTTCGAAAGTTCGTATAGTCGACATGTTGGAGAGGGCTGCACGGATGTTACATCCAGGCTTCACTGACCCGGGTGTGGCGCAGAAGGTGGTCCGCTTTCAGACCCGTCTTGCTTGACACGCTTAGGATCTCTCTCGCTCGGAGGTGCAGATGGTGCCCCCTTGCGCTTCTCCTTATCCCGCTGATACTCAGCACGACGTTCTTTGTCCCTCTCGCGACGGAGAGCCTTAGACTCGAATTCATGCCAGTCACCTTCAATATTCTCCAATCTGAGATGCATTAGCGACAGTCAAACAGGGGTTATTAAGCATTTGAACTTACTCGACGGCTTGTTG